TTGAAGTGTGTCTTTAAATTGATTTTTGAGCTGTTCACTGGCGAGCTGCCAATCCCAACACTCTTCTGACCCTCTTCTACAAAAGTGTAATAGTGTGTATTTCGGACACTGGCGGCTTCGATCGATCCACTCGTCACCTCTCGTTATCATATTACGAGCTCGAACGCGCTATTGCGCAATCCACACTCGATATTCATATGCAAACTGTTTCTTTGCTCATAATCCTCACTTTCCTCCGTTTGACATGTCTCCGTTTATGTGTGTCTTCTTCTAGTTAAAACGCTAAGGTCACCTTTTGACTCGATGCCGCTGCCGATTGTTTTCTTTTCGTTTTCCTCTTTTTGTTCTTTGCTGATTTTGTCTAAAACAGGGTGCCACAGCAGCATCAACCGATATCATCATCCACAGACACCCGCAACTAATCGGGATTGCCTTGCGGGGTCTGGTTTCGATTCGAGGATTCGATAAATCGCGCTGCGCGTTTTGCAACATTTCTCCAAGACCATTTAGCAAGATTTTTCCCGTAGATCAAACGTGACTCGAATTTTGAAATTTTCGATTCGCCGAAAATCGGTGTGTAGGTGTAGCTCCGTTATCGTTTTGCACATAATTGATGATAACTTTTTATGAGCATTCCGCCGGTATACAAAGCAGTGGCTGAGCGATAAAAAGCTGCCGACCAGTCCGTCTCTGATAACCGCACTTCGTATCGTATCGGGCTCCTCGAATAAAACCCCTCCTCCCTCTTCTCCATCATCTCCTCTTCTTTTTCTTCTTTTATAGAAAGACAATGGGTTGCTTCGTAACCCCGCGTACGACTCGACTTGATCAGCGTGACAAACGATGATAAATATGAATTTTACAATCGTTACGTGACGTCGCCGCCGCCGACGACGACGACGTCTTCAGCGGCGCATCGCTCTGATCACTATCTAATCCGACAAGATACACAAACATAGTGAAATCGAAGGTGTTGAATACACACTCAGACACAAAACGTGTGAAGAGAATCAATAAAAATGTGAAGATCAAGATTGAACATCAGCTTGATTCAGCTCGAGATTTTATCTCGACTAGACACATTCATTGGATTTAATCAGCGATTCGCAACATTTTATTGGTCTCTAGGCGAGATCCAATGCTAGCTTACGACAATTTATACCGAATACTTCCAGACCCTCTTTGTTCTTTTTGAGTTAAGGATATTGATTTTCAATCAAATTGTTTTATACATATTACAAAAATGAGATTTCTCACAATCCGCATAAAATAGAGATTCATTGGTCATAAATCAATGGAGTGCGTATCTTGATGGCAGTCGGTTCGGTGCACCCGCACGCCTATAATTTAGCATCTCTCCCGACGGTGTTTCATTGCGCTGAACTCGGCCCTCCGACCTCACTCCTTCCCCAAAAATTCTCCTATAATTACAATAATAATACGGTATGTTTGTTGTTTTTCATGCATTTTCTCGATCCAACCCCGAAGGGGTTTTTGAATGCCGGGGGGGGGGGGGTTGTGTCGGACGGACGAACGAATTTTGAAGGCCAAATTCTTTCGACTGGAGATTCTTCTTCATCGCATTTCATTTCGTTTTTGTCTCCACCTTTCATTCTTCAGCCTTCGACTGTCTTCTACATCTTGTTCTTATGAACATCGTGCAATTTGTTCGGTACCTTCATGATTTATAACATGTGCGATTTCACAAGTGCAACTTTCAATATCAATCACTAGCGCCATTCCTTTCGTTTGCAAATTTCTCGTCTAACAAGGCCACTTGAGAGCCGTATTAGTGGTAGACCAAACTGCAATAGAGCGCAATTGCTAATCCATGAATATTTAATGATTTGTGCGAGGTTACTGTAGCTTAAAAGATCAAGACTAGATGTTTGAGTGAGTGTGTGTGTGTGTGTAATTTTTTGATGGATGAACTCTTGAAAAGTGCTGCTTCGTTGAGCGGCGTCTGGCGCCAATGTCGGCGACATGCGCTCACTCTAAAGAATCACAGCATTGACACCAGAATGACAAAATGTACGAAAATGTAGCGACTCTCCCGCTATCAGCAATCCCATTAGTGCTTGCTAGCACTGGCGCCAGGCCGGTAGTATAACGTTCAAATATGTTGGCGTGTTATCAGCAAGACGAGCATCCAAATGTTGCCATATTCATTTCTCGTCTTTCCGCACCGTCAAACACACCGTCTACTCAGCTGATCATGTCAATCGTCGTCTCGACGGGGGAGGTGGCGAGTCGTCAGTTTTTTGTCGACTCGAAATTTCCTTCTTTTGGCGCGACCGGTGTTCATTTCGATGCGGAATTGAATGACCTTTCAATTTGTCAAGATTTCTTATCGAACGCTCCGCCAAGATTTCAAGGCGATTGTGTCAAGCACTGATTGTGTCTCGAGCTTTGTTTGTGTGCACTTCTAATACGATACATGACCTATCGTTGTTAGCATGAGAGATACTTTAATATTGACGATTATCAGAAATCCTTTCCATTGCTGGCAACTCATGCAATCTCTCAAACTTTCCATGCTTCGGGCTCGCACTTTGGTGATTCAGTCGAGGTGTGGCTCGAGGGAAGCTGGAAGTTATTGAGATTTGATGATAAATTGCTATCACGTGTGTTCCGTTGTCCATGTGTATTAAGAGTTACACAAACCTATGAGTTATTTCGAAATATTTCACCAGATACTGGTTAGTCTTATCTCTTACTAACAGCATCGTCAATAGAGTGATCGTCGCGGCCGGCGTGGTGTCTGCTCGGGCGATATCCACTCGATACCGGTCAAGGCAATCATCAAAGGCCGAGGGGCCAAATCAACATACCAAGCCGCTAATTCAACTCTGCCTATGTTTTGATCCACTCTAGCCGCCAGGTCATTATCAATTCGAAGGGCTCATAATGTTGATGTTGGGGTGTGTGTGTGTGTGTTTTTTTTTTTCAATGAATGAGAGAGGCGACGTACGCGAACCCCACACAGACACACACACACACATACAAAATTGCCGTTTTTGGCGAGAGAGAAACCGAAAGAAACCCCGGGCGCCTGGGGCTCAATTTTTGTGTCATGCTTCCTTCTATCGCATTTGGCAACATCTCGTCGCTGCTGCTGCTCGTTGTCCTTTTTTGCTGCTGCTGCTGCTGCCGCCGCTGCTGCAGCTCATGCTTCCTCTCTCTTTTCTTTTTTTTAGAGCGTCTGCCATGTTCTGCGTGTTTTTTGTTTTTGTTTTTGTTGTTGCCAAAAGATTTCGAGTAAACCCCGGCCGTCTTCCCTTTTTGCTGCGGCGACAAAGTGCCATTGCGCTTTGTTGGAGTCCTCAGATTTACTGGAGCTCGTAGAAGTGATATCAAAAACATCGAGAAGACATGTTTAATTAACGATGGAAATTGTTGATTTTTGTTCTCAGCGGTTTGCAAAAGAACGCACGCGAAAATTGGCGAGCCTTTTTTTGCGAAATTTCTCATAATTAGTCGATTAAGAGAGACAGACAGTAGGATATTTTGATTCTAATTCTCAAGAAATTTAATCATCTTATAATATTTTTAATGACAAAATTATCCAAATCTGTTTCGATCAGAATACTCATTCCTTTCACATATTTTTTGATCCGAATCTGATTCTTTCTTCGTGTTTCCCTCCAATGCGTTTTCCCATGCAAATACTGCGAAGCCCTTTTATTATCGTTTGGCATTCGTCCAGCAATTCTCAGCAGTTTTCCCTTGGCATCGTTTTAATCTGACCTTGAGGGGCGGGGACACTCTGTCCCCTTCATCATTCGTTCGTCTTGCAGTTGTTGTTGTTGTTTTTTTTTTGGGTGCGGGGTTGTCGTTGGAGAAGACGGCGACCTGATGAGAAGAGAAAAAAAACGCCCCACGAACGACCACCCTCCAAGAGTAGTTAGGAGATTTATTTGTTTTTTTTGCACTTTGTGTTGCGGGCCAGCGAAAAATGAAACGAGGAGGGCAGAAAATTTTGAATGAATTTTACCGCACATCGACGATCGCTCGGCCACCAATAAAGAAAAAATTAGACGCCGGCGAAGAAAAAAAGGGCGGATGAGAATGAAATGAAGAAGGAGGAGAAGATGGAGAAGAAGAAGAAGAAAATGCAAAACTAATGGGTTTCGGCAATGTGTTGCTAATACGGGTCCTACAGAAAAAGACCTATAAATTTTGTTGGCCAGTGTCGCAACAAAAGTGCAAAAATTTCATACTGTGTCCTAGTTGAAACAGCATCGCGTTTGTTTCGAAGACTCGGAATTTGCTTAAAAATTTTTTCGGATCCCAACTATCCTCCGAATGTGCCCAATTTCTTTTTATCATTTACTATTCATGTTATTGTTATTCCTATTATCTATGCATATGTTCGTTATCAGCAAATGGCTCTTTGTGCTCTCCACAATCATTGGATTATTTTTAACGCATGCGTATGTGTGTGTGTGTGCCTTCTACTCGAATCAGCTGTGCGTCTCATTTATTTAATTCCACGATATCATTCAATCATTTCTCTCATCACATACGTTATACGTATGCTGGTTCAATTTGTCCTCACTCTTGTTACAGTCGGCCTGTTAGGGTCCCGCCCAGATATCCGCGCGATCCCGCCTGCCCCCCCCCCTCCCACCAAAATTAGAAACAGACATGGGCGGAGTTGAGGCGTGCAGCTAGCCGCCAAAATACTCGCAGTGGGAGGGGTTTCGGTGTGTTGGTCGCCGTGGGATGTCTCGTCGTCGAACGTCTCTCCCTAGTGTCCTCCTCTTTTTGCAATCACTTTTTTTTAGATCACGTAACCCTCTACTCCCAGGGTCTTGTCTATTTTTTGTTTATTCTCTAGTTTGTTTCAACATACTAAAACATTTCGAGATCTTTTATTTCGATCAACTTTTCGAATACACTTTTGCATACTGTGTTCCAAAATTTTTGGCAAATATTTTTTTTTGCTTTTGAATTTTTATTTTTACTTTTGATGTTTTGCAGCGGATTCCGATGAGACAATGATGCGATACGACCGAAGTCTTTCCGCTCTTCAACAGCAGCCATCCGGATCAACTGCGTTTGGATGCGAGGAGCAGCTTGTTGCCAACTTTCAGAACGTCTCGATTTTCGGAGACGATCATGATTTGGCGGGATTGGTGAGTTTCCATTTTCGGGCGGTGCAAACGCCTTTTTTCGAATCCTTATATTTGTTACCAAACCAAACATTTCACCTTGTGTGATGCTTTTCGATAATAGCAAAAACATTGCAACGGCGTCGCCAATTTTTTTATAATAAAATCATGACGAATTCCACAACATTGTTGTTTCTTATTTGCTCGTCATACAATGTTTTAATGCTCGTCTCGATTTCAGGGCATCGGCCAATTGAACCCATGGCAGTTCCCGTCGGCGATGACTCGCTCCAACGGATTCAGCGGATCCGATTCATCGGCACCGTTGTCGCCGAATTCGCAGCGCTCCTCATTCGACATGAAGAAGCATTCCGATGGTGGCGGCAGCGTTCGAAATCTGCGGATTTCGGATTCGCAAAGTATGTTCTCTTCTACGTTCAAATAGTCTATGCCAAGTTGTACACACGCACAAACCATATGATGTTGAAAATGAATCGGACCATTTATCTTCGATAATGTGCTCATTTTTCGCAACCTCTCCAACCCTGAATGAATGGACGTGGGCCCCCAGAATGTGAGGCGGATAATGAATAGATAACGTACGGACGGGTGCTGTGTGTGTGTGTGTTATGTGCGCGAGACGACTGACGAGTGAGCACGCAATCTAAAGAGGCGCGATTGCACTTTTTTAAAGCACACCGCCTCTTGTTGCGGTTTTTGTTTGTACACAAAAAAACGCGCCAAACGGTTGCAAAATCCACCACATATTGGAATTTATACGTATTACGATGAAGTGAACAATAGAAGCCCGCAATACAATTAAACATTTCTGCAAAACGCTCAGACTCCGCCCACATTGTGTGGATATATAATCGAAATTCCATAATCCATTTTGAAAGTGTTTTTGTTGGAAAATGGCACTAGAAGAGATTTAAAACTCGAAACGTTGTTGGGATTCTTACCGGAAAAAAGACGTTGCCTCTATAGTCATAAAACGTAACTTTGCAGCGTTCGACCCGAATCGCAACATTCGCAGCGGTCATCCGTTGGCGCCACAGCGACACATGGCGCCATCAGTGGAAAGTAGAGGCGGCGGCCGTGGAAGGAATCGCGGCACAAAGCAGAAAGCCGCAGCAATGTCTGCCATCAACCACCACCACCATCAGCAGCAGCAGCATCCGCCGGCGAATCAGTGCTTTTCGACACAGCTCAATCAGCCTCCGAAGCAGCAGCAATCAGTTCAGTCTCAGCAGCCACCACAGCCGTCTCCAAAGTTGGCAGTCCACCATCCCGGCATGCGAGGTCAGTCGCTTTTTTCCTTCGTCGTTCTATCGCGCTATAGCCGTTTTTTCAAATATTTGTGTGTTCTGACCAACAAAACAAACGAGGCCTCGGCGGCGACGGCGGCCGCCGCCGCAGTAACTCAAGCGCTCGCACGCTCATTTTTTTGCGATCATTCGGCGACTATAAAATATGATGATTAAATGGGTAATTAATATGATCAGAAAGAGGCTTCCGACATGTTACGATCCTCTTTGTCACCATTATTCGCATCCTCTATTGAAAAGCCGAAAACGAACGAAAGTTGAGTTTTTCATCGGGAAATGTTGCGCACGAGAGCCACTTGACCTTTATTTTTTTTTCTCCTACGGGGCCTTTTTTCACTCTTCGTCGTCATCATCTTTTTGGTTGCCGTCGTCGTCATCGCCGTTGGGTAGATGATGGGGGGGAATTGTCGGAATAATTGCATTAAATTGTGAGTCACCAAATGGCTTTTAGTGTGTAATATCGCAAATTGATTTTTTTTTCGGTAGAGATTTTCGAGCAAATCTTTAGAATGTGTACAGGCTGTCGAAAACGCAACGTTTTGGTTGATTCGACGGAAGAACCAAGATGTTTTTGCTGCTAATCACTCGCAAAAATCGTATCATCTCCGATTCGCTTTTATCTTCTCACAATTTTCCGAATGACATTTGCTTGCATGTACGTGAGATCCATCATGTACTTGGCGGCCTCTCACCCTCGAGCAAGTTCAATTCAGTTCAGAAGCTTCAAGCGATAGGTACGACCACGCGGCTGTCGTTTTCGTGCTGCTCGTCCCCGTTTGATTTTTGCTACCATCCAACTCGAAATCCGAGCTGATTTTTGACACGTTTTTTTTCTTTCTTTTTCTCTCTCTTTCTCGCTCTTCGATTGTTGAGAAATGATGTCTACCAAGTGCGAAACAATCTTTGACTTGGTATTATCATGTTTTCCATTATTTTGTTTCGATCGAAAGTGCCAGAGCCTCGTTTGAATGGGAAACTGGCGAATGACAGCGAGCGAGCGAGCGATGAGTGAACACAACAAAATGGCAACATTTTTCAAGTACCGTAGACGTTTTTTTTTCGCCGACCGGACTGGGGGACGAACGGCATTTTCGGTGGAAATAGTGTGAATTTTCGAGGAGACGCCTCGATCTTTCTTTTTGCATTTCATTTTTTTTTCGTCGTTTTGTTTGTTTGTGCACGCGTTTTTGTGCACTCCTCAGGCTCCACGAAATGCCATGCCAAGTGAATTGCACTTGCCTGTATGACGGACGGAGTTCGTCGAGGTTGCACCTAGCCGTCACCCAGACGGAAAAAAATCGGAATAGTTTCAAAGTTTCGCAAAGAAAGAGATAATTGAATTAAATGAAGCGTTGAATAATGCGAGTCGCGACATGGCCCTTAATTGGCTATGCACATTTCCGGTCGGTTGAAACCGTTTTCCTCCTCATATTCGCATCATCGAAGTGGCTGTGGATGTTGTTGTTGTTCGAATTCTGAAGGTTGCGCCGACCTTATGGTGCTGATTAATTGAAGGGTGTTCGGACATTGTGTTGTTCTCTGAACCCCAAGTTCACTAGAAAAACGCGGAAGCAGACCAGGATGAGGGGAATGCGAAGAAAGATTGACAGCGATGTGATATGATTAACAAGATAGAACGGATGAGATTCCGAATAAAAAGATGCAGATCATCCAGTTCGGAAGAGCTCGGCTGAAACGGCACAGCGCAACGATCGTTCCCGTTTTCTCAAAAATATGATCTAGTAGATCCTTCCGGTGAATCTTCGACATCCATGGGAAGACATTTCCCATACCCTTTTTAGGTTTGCAACGATTCAATAGTGCAATTGTGACGGGGTTTTTTTTTTTCATTTTGAGTTTCCCACCATTCAACACAATACAAACGGTGTAAAACGCGTGAAACCGAAATTTGCATAAATATGCGTTTTTCATATCTAGTTTTTGTGCAAAATCGACTGCGGTGGTTCGCACGACGCCCTATTCATTGTTTTACGACGACGCGGCTATTAAAGTTTTACAAGAGTCGATAAAATGAGAGAAAGAAATGGGTGGGAAGAGAAGGAGGAATGGGTGGTCGAAACGCACGCGGGATAGATGAATATTCAATGATTATTTGGCTTGGCGAGACAAGGAGAACATTTGATGGTTTTTCGTTGTATTTCGCGCACTTCGTCGTCCTCTCTTCATTTCGCATCTTTAATGTGCTACATACATAGATGCGCGAGGAGGCGCTCTTCTTCTGGCAGACAAAGAACCATTAAGAGTGCAAAATAGGAGATGATCAGCTGCCTAACATACATACATACATACATAAACATACAGAAAATGGCAAAGAAAAAAAGAGCGAGCGGAGATTGGTCGATTTCAGTATGATAAAAATTGCCAAAGAAACGGGTTTTTTTTGTTTCATTTGAGAAAGGACATAAAAAAAAATGATCGATTACACTGAGAGTTACGAATATCTTGACCGCTTTAAAAAACTTTTCGATTTTTTCAGACATCATGTATTGGCTGAAAAAGTTGCGACTTCACAAGTACACACCGTTGTTCGAGCAGCTGACTTATAAGGAAATGATGGCTCTCGACGAGAAAACTCTCGAAGAGCTCAATGTGACCACTGGGGCTCGCAAGAAAATTCTGCAGACGATCGAAAAACTCAATTTTCGGTCGGAAACATTGCGCAATATTGAGCGAGGTCTTCGTCGTCGCGAACAGTGCATTCGGTGCGCAATCTGCACGATTCGTCAAATGCTGTGGACGCCATTCATCGCGTTCGAGTCAACTGATGCTTTCAAAAAGCACAAGTACTCGAAGGACGTGATTGAAGGGAGTTCTGTGCCGATGGACACGATTCCCGACGACAATCTTCCGGCTCTGATCTTCCGCGTCGTCGAACTTCTTAACTCGATTATCTATCCGATCAATCCGCGATCTGAGGATCTTGAGAATGAGTATTTGCTGACAACTTTCCAGATTTTCGACAGCATCATGAAGAACGACGTAATGATTGATGCCAACTCGAACTATACTAATATCGATTCGTTTTTTCAGCAATTCACTACTTACCAGCATCGTCGTGCTCTTTTCATGAAGAAAACTGCTCGCACCTTCGTTTCGCCGGAAGAGATGCGCAAACAGCGAATGGGACTTGTTGTGAGCTCGCAATGCGAGAGCTGCCATAACACCGAAGTTGTGAATCGCGAGCGAATGCTCGAGATTCGTGAGCGCGAGGCTCGTGGTGATAAGCCGCTCGCTTCTCATTGTCCTGATCCGGTGATCAGTGAAATTCCGCCAACCGGACTCGACCATCGCATTCAGCAAAAGCGTCCGGCAGACGATGAGAGCGGTGTGTTCGGAAACGCGAAAATCGCCTCTTCGAGCTTCGACGCTTTCTCCGCTCCGTCGCCATTCAATTTCCGCAGCATTTGGAGCACTGATGGTAGGCTTCAGTTGGCAACCGAAAAATTCGAAACATTCGTGATTTTCAGCTGACGATCACGAGCTTTTCAAGCCGTCCACTTCTGTCACCACACCATTCGCATTATTCCCGCAATATCGTTCACCCACTCATGCGGATCCATCGAAAATCTACTCATCCAATGATTTGGTCGAGCTCGCAAAGCCAGAAACTTTCGGATTTCGTGGATTCGATTTTAACATCTTCGAAGATATTGTGAGTGATAAAAACGAAACAATTTTGTTCCATCTATACACTTGAATTTCACATTGAGAAAAAAGAGAGATGAGTGAGTAAGATGGGGTGTTTTGATTTAACGAGATGAGAAATTCTAATCGAATATCAACCATGCAAATACGTATTTCAGCCTCAGTTCAATGATGTTCTGAACCGTCCACCGATTCCGGATCCAGTGAGTTCGGCAGAAGTGTCGAGCCATAAGGCCAACTCGACAGGAAGTGCCTACTCGTCATCGGAAAGCGAATCGTCGGCCGTTGTCTCGCATCGCGCTCGCGCCTTCTCGAATGCCAAGGAATCGACGACGACGGCAATCTCGCAATCGCCGATCGACATGAGTTTGAACACACTGCTCGTCTCGCCGCACTTCAAGTATTTCCTGAACACCGGCGGACGCTCGATTCAGCACTTCGAATAGAATGTATCCGACTTGGAAATTTTGTTTCTTAGTTTTAGCCATGTTCGTCACATGAAATACTCTTTTCGTTTTGCGCCTATTCAAAGTCATATACGTTTCATCCCTTCCCCTCCCCTTTAATCAAACGGTGAAATTGCCTTAAGTAACGCTTGTTTCTTGTTTTCGGCCTGTTCATCCTCTTCCCACAAATCATCCATGACTAATCCAATCTGTAGAAACCTTGTTCATAAGAAAGTAGTTTAACACCGTAGTTCAATTGTTTCCCTATTTGGTTCTCTTCAAATGCACACACCCACACACACCGTAGCTGCCTCATTTTCTCGATAGTCTCCTCAAAATAATGCACATATTCTGTGATGGTTTCGTTTTAGAAGCCATCTACTATCATTACTACTAATGTTGAATCGAAATGAGAAACTCCTCAACCATAGATCTTTCGCAAAATTATCGTATTTCGTCGCTTCTCTTCATTTTAGTTGTTTTCTCTTCTCCGCAAAATTCCTGTCAATTCAAAAATGTTTTTCTTTTCTTGTTCTGTTGAGAAATTATTGCCTATTCACTTTCATGTTCGAAAAAAGCAAAAAGCTGCCTTCCACCATAGTTGCCTTACACCTCTCTAATTTCATTTTCTGCTAATTTTTGCTCTTTTCAATTATTTTTTTTTCTGTCTACACTGTTGTATTTCTTGCCATTTCCTAATTGTTTCTTTTCGTTTATTGTTTGTTTCCCTTTTCCGTTCAATTCTGAATCCCGCCACGTGCGCGGCCAGACGCTGCTCGGCGTCTGGTAGTTGCTCAATGTATAAGTTTTGGTGTGCTCTGTTCACTTGTTGCTCTGTACAGTAGTTCTGTCCGTCTGTCTGTAAGTTGTGATTACACATTTGTGTAGATTTGTACACACCAACACACCAACACACCAACACTGCATTTTTGTTTCTTTGTATTATTCTCGTTTTACCCTTTTAGTTTCATTTCTATTTTGCCTTTCTACTTCCATTTTCGTTCTGTTAACTCTTGACACGAACACATGACATTGTTTTTTTTTCTGTTATATATAAAAATGTATGCATATATCCATTCTGTGCCTTCTTTCCTTCTTTTTTTTTCGAAATTGACAGGAATTTCATAATATAATAAATAATTCAACTGTTTGATTTCAAAAATAACTCAAAATGTTTTATTTGTCCGACGATTACAGTTTAAAAAAAAAAGAAGCGCGCCTAAATACATTTAATAGAAAATGGTTCACGAACATTTATGGATTTCGATGATCCTAGAAGATGCAAATTTTAAATGAAAGAGAGGGAATTTGGAACATTGTAAACATCGGCGGTCATTTCCCGGGATACAATAGCACTGCTTCGTTAAATTTGTGTTGGTGACAATTCAAACGAGGACCCTTGTGTTTTGACAACCCTGAATGCGACCAGGCGGTGCCGCCGCAAAATTTTCTGTTTTTCTTTGCGCACTCGCATCTCTCACAATGAAAAGGATAGAGTGTGGCGAAACCCGGCAAGTGTCGGCAGCGGGCGTTACATAGGTGTGCACGAATAGTGGCATTCGTCGAGACCATACTATACAGAATCATTTCTGTAGTGTGTATCTCGTTATTCCCATTAATCTGGTAGAGATGCCAACTGCGATGAATGGGAGACGGGCAGGCCGCCAGCGTGAAGCAGCACTTTGTGTGCTTGATGACCGCGTGGAGCCAATTAGCCATTTTTGGAGCCACAGTGGCCTGCTCATCTGAGCAGTTTATTCGATTCACAATATTAAAAAAATATATAGCTGTCGGCAAAGTAAAAAAAAATATCCACGAATGGCCGTCGCGAGAAATTGTCTAACAGAAAAGCCGGGATTAAATATAAGCTTTGTCTTTCCTTTTATCCATATTCGGCATAAGTATTACTCGTACAATCAGCGTACTAGTCGCACCAAATTCGTCCGTTCACGACAGTATATGGTTAATAATCGTATACGATTGTTCTACAAACGCTTTCAAATACGATTTTGATTGATTTTTTTTTGAAACTCGATTTTGAAATTCTGATTTTTTGCCTCAAATACCTAATCAGGTCTTTGAGATATTGAATGATTTTATTTGACGGCAAAACGCGTGACTTCGCCATCGATTTTTTTTCCTACGCGTAAAGCAACAATGAAGTTTGGAAACAATTTATTCACAGAAAATATGATATATTAGCAATCATACCCATAATTAAAATATCACAAAGAAATATTCAAACGAAACAAAAGAATTTAACTGAAATAGGAAAAAAAATTTAATACTAATAGTAGAAATTAATACTATCAAAAATCTGGATAAAGCTATTTTTGAAAAGAAAAAACCAGAAAAGAACCATTATGTACACGCTGACTCGTCGAATTAATGAGAATGACCCGATGCCAAAATCGCCGGGACAACAGCTCCACCAATGATGAGAAGCAACTCGCGAATACTGTAGCTTGTTCCGCCTGAAAGTTACGACTTTATCGAAAACAAAAATGTCATAAACACAAAAACGTTTTATTAACTATAAAATAACATTTATAGCGGTATTGCGGTCTTTGATTTCTTGATTTATAAAATTGCTAACCTGTATGCGAATGGCCTATGCTGGCCGGAGCTTGAGCATCGACTACCAAAGAATATTCATTATTTTGCCTGTTGTTCGCCTAAAATAAATGTTAAAAGAAATGAAGTTTTCTCAAACTGTCATACCAATTCCGGTAGAACGTGTACGGTGGCCACATAGAGAAACGTTCCTGCGGAGAACAACATCAGAACACCAGTCGACGATTCGGATCGCAAGCTTTCGCCCATCTGTTCAATAATAGAATTCTTCGTTTGAATACTTATAACACGAGCTCACGTGCGTGATCAACATGAAGGTTGTGAGAGCAGCAAAGGGCGCTGCTGACGAAAAAACCAGCAAGTGTTTTCGAATCGATCGACGATCGATCGCTTCCATTAAAAGGAACGAGACAAGACCAAATGCGGCGGGAGCCTGAAAAACGATTTCCGATGTAATTTGGATAGTTGAGAAACGTTACTTTATGCAGCATTATCGCGACAAAAACAATAAGTTGGACATCTGATTTGTTGATGACCGATGCACTTCCAAGGGCAACACCATCAGCTGAAATCGATTATTAGCAATCGCTACGTGAGAATTTTCGCGGAAAAAAATACGCAAAATTATTTTTTCTAATGATTATAACAGTAGAAAAAATAAAAGAGAATTCTCTAAGTTTTGAAATTAGTTATAGCCAGCTTCCATGCGGCGACTGAACTACTCTCAGCACATATTTTATTTTGTCATTTCCTTGAATTTTCAATGTTATCGAAATTGAAAATTATCGAATTGAGTTCTTTATTGAGATGTTATTCCGGGCGAGACCAGAGCGAAAGACACATACCGGTAAATCTACCACCATACATTAGTCGCCGTATATTTTGGTTTCAAATTTGCGAAAATTTCTACCTGCCGCGTGAACAACTAGCCCGATTGTGGCGGATATTCCAATTCGACTTCGTCCAGTTCGATCGTCTAAATTGGCCCTTTAAGTATTTAAAATTCCCCCAATAAGGTGATACTTCTTGAAGTCGCCGCGCTTCCTATTTGATCCACTAGCAGCATCAAAACAAATCCCAAAACGAGCGAATATCCGATTTGAGAATGTATATTATTATGAGAATGATGTTCTTCCTCTACTTTTTGTGCGCTTTCATTTTCGGAATGTGTTTCTATAAAATTCTCAATGAAAAATTCGACTTTCTATTAAAACACTTGCCAACTTCTCGTTTTGACCGTTCGTCGTTCGAATATGAAATTGATCGGACGGCTCGAGCAATTCTAAACGTAAAAATACGTTTCTGGAAATAATTCGTTACTTACGCTTCGTTTAAAACAGCATCTTTTGGTATAATTCTAGGTAAATTCTCTATTTGTCCATCTTTGTCTTTTGTATTTTCGAGAATATTTTTTGCTTCTGCAGGATTCGACAAAGATGGTGGAGATAATGATTGCTTGTGCTCGTGAGAATAATGCTCAAGTTCTCGCTGAGATGAATACAACGCCTCGACACCTTCCGGAATAATCACGGATAGTGCAGTTCCTACTAGAAGGCCGGCACCGAATATACTGACTAGACGTATTCGAGACTGAAAATTTTATTTTTCTATTCATTAATTTTAACCTAATAGGAATTAGGTTATAATTAGAATTTTTGAATTGCACATTTTGTTATTTTCTGTAAATGTAAAAATTTTGATATTCGTTGGCAATTTGTTCTTGATTTCACTACCTATTTAAAGAGAAAAAGACGTCAAATCGTTTTTTTTTCCAAAAATTAAAATTAATAAAATAACACTTTCAATTATTCGCATGTTTATAATATTTGCATCTTTCCAGATTTATAAAGCAGTAAATAGTTATTAGAAAAAAATACCTCTGAAAGTGTGAACATTAATGGAATTGAGCCAGCCAAGTAGCTACCAAAGAACATGGCCGCCGAAAGAATGAATAGAAACCCAATTCCTTCCATTTTGCTGAAATGTTCTTGCCTAATGTTTGAAATTTACTTATTTTCGCCATAAACACACGAAAAATAAAACACGGGGAAACAGGGGCGGGGCTAATGCTTCAAATTGCAAAGCCCGCACTGGTTTTGGCAGTGTGGCGGCGGGAATGTTTCTTGAGGAAAAAAAATGAAACATTATTGGTTTTGGTTATTAACAAAACTAAATTAAAACGCTTAAGAATAAAACCAACTTTATAGTTAATTGAATAGAACGACTGGAACTAATTTTTTTTGAAAAGTGTTTAAAGAAATTTCAAGCTCACCTAAGAGATATGCCTGGCGGGTACATCAGCGAATTTGCCACGGATTGTGGAAAAAACTAAACAAATTTTAAGAGAATTAATTGTTTTATTTTATTGAACGCACCAACGTTGTCATTATCAGAATAATCGCCGTGTAAATGAAAAATTTAATCTACCGTTTTGAATGCAATTTTTTAGTTTAGTAAATGATTTGCTTGTCGGTCACGTATAAAAATAACAAAAAAGAAAATTCTTAATTTTGTTGTTTAATACGACCTGCCAGATGACCAATAGTTGGGAAAAAATGAATGAAAAGAGGATCTGTGCCAGATTAGATTTTTTCCCAGATTTAAGCACTGATCTTCTCACTTTTCATCCATTTCCAACTTGGAGTGTAGTCGGAGGGGGTAAAAAAATCTATAAAAAATGAGACTATTTTGTAGATGACATTCTGAATCAAGTTTTGATACAAATATTTTACGTAACTTTTTGGACGTGAGATTGTATTCTGAATTAATTTTTGATTTTCAAAATATCAGGTTTACTTTAAATTTAAAATTAAAATTTTAAAATAAGGATTTAATATTTTTAAGCAGTTCGATTTCCTCAGAACATCAACTCATTAGTCTGATTCGATATTTACAAATTTCTCATTTTGTTATGTCAATTAAAAATTGTTGAAAACATATTTATAATGAGAATCATTTTCCTAGTCCAAAAATAGGGAAACATTGGAAATTCGGGAAATATTTACTATAATACCAGTGTCAGTTTTTTTTTCGGATTTCTCTGTGTTTCGATGAATCAAGCAGGTTGCCCCAGTTCGCCGAAAATTCTATTTGCGCCGTTTTAGCCATGTTTCCCTCTACTCGACCAGATAGGTAATTCGTCCCATGACCAAAGGGCTAACTATACATACAAATATTTTCTGTATTTTAAATTTAAAAAAAACGCCCGTTCTTTTTTCCGCAATTTCGCACCACTAATTTTGGGTCTTCGGAAAAGTTTATAAATAAATTTTTCGATATCAGTAGGAATTTTTTTTTTGATTTCGAATTCAGGACCAAGCTTTTGTTTTAATTACCGCGGTCATGAGAATTCAAAAACGTTTAAAATCAAATATCGAATGTGGTTTCAATATTTAATAATTTCAATTTGGTTCTATAATCGGTTTAACAACCAAACTTCACAAATACTAGAGATTTTATTGGTGAGACGTCATTGATAAATTAAGCCGTGACATTTAAATTAGCATTGTAAATCAACAAATAATCGTCTAAAGTTCACAAAAGCCCCTACGCAAATGATTCAGGACCATGATAACGAGAAATGGTGATAAGAAGATGAATAAAATGAAAAAGCGACCAATTCATGACCAATTTTTTCGGAATGAGAACAATTATCGTTCTTATTGCCATTTTGGCAATATTTCGAAGGTAAGATTATTAAAATGATATTCTATTTTCAAAGTATACGTATTATAGGGCGAATTCGAACCGAATAAATGGGCTTCTGTTCGATGACACGTAAGTGCAGAATATCGATGGATTGGGCAGTTTGAGATAAAAATCATTTGCGATCATGAGAAAGATGGGCGAAAACGTTTCAACAATTTTTGAGATTGATCGCATTTATGCACTTTTGAATATAGAATAATTTGAATATCATTGAAATTTAGTATAATAATTCACATACATTGCAGCGAGCAATGCGAAGGATTGGCTTGCGAATCAAAAGAGACCCTTCTCGAAATGATCAGCAAGATGCAGAAGGAAAAACATGATGCATACATGGCTCCTCTCAAAAATCCGCTCATGGTCAACCATTTGACATCCTCTGAGCTTTTCGTGAATCAAATGAGCAATTCTCAGTTCGATATGCAATGCTCGATTTGCAATCGCACCGATTTATGTATCAATGGTGGAGCTTGTGTTCCCGATCAACGGAACCCGTGGAAATACTATCAGTACGTTGACTAAATAAACCGTGATTAATTTGATTTTCTCGTTTTGCAGTTGCATTTGTCCTGATAACACTTCCGGCGAAAACTGTCAGCATGTCATCCAATGCACAGACAAATCTTGCGGTAAAAATGCATACTGTATTGTCACGAATCATCAACTTAATTGCGTATGTAAGCCTGGATTTTCAGGTAAATCTTTAAAAAAAATATGTAAATATCAAAATTTGTTAATCGATGTAAATTGTTAGCAAAAAAGAACGGAAAAGATTGCAATCTGAAGCGACAAAAAGCGTGTATAAGCGGTGATCCTCACTATGTCACCTACGACAATCTTCGTTATGACTACCAAGGTTCGTCAGTTTTTTTTCTGCCATACCAATACAAACCTATAATTTAAAGGAACATGCCCATATGTCTTCACGCAACCTTGTACTATACTACCCGATCCATATAATTGGTTTTCCGTTCGCGCCAAGAATCAGCTTCCCAGTAATGGTTACCAGTATGAAAATATAAAATTTAGAACATAAAATAATGAGAAACAATTTCAAGTGTATCATTCGTGTCGGAGGCTGAAGTCGACTTCTACAACATGACAATTCACGTTGACATCCGCTCAAAAATTGTGCTCGTGAACGGTGTTCAAGTGCTCACACCATGGTATTATCCAAATAAAAACAATTGGATGGTTTGTTTCTTTTATACATGTTGGTCTGTTTTAATATTAAGAAAACGTTAGATTCGAATTCGCCACTCCGGAAACACATTTACAATTGAAAACGATCAACAGATTACTGTAACATTCACATCATCCAATACGCTTTGTGTTGAAGTTCCCGATATCGACGAATTCCGCGGACAAGGAACCCTGTGTGGTCTCGCAGGGAATATTGACGGACATTGGTCGAATGATGTGATTTCAAAAGATGGAGTTGTTCTGCCGCTTGATAACAGTCGCCAGCCGACGAAAAAGAATCGCATCGATTTTATGAAATATGAGGTTTGACGATTTTCAAAAAAGAATCCACTACTTACATAAACGAGAAAATGAAATTTATCATTTTTAGGACTCATGGATTACGGATAAATTTTTAATTTTGCGACCTGGTCAAGAAGCGTGCGTAAATGGTCAAATCATCGACGATAACCCGGATTGTGTGAGTAACATCTAAATCAGGGCTGTGCGGCAATCGGAAATTTCGGCAATCCGGCAATTCGGCAAATTGCCGAAAATCAAAATGTCGACTATTAAATTTTTTCAACGATAATTCGAAATATAAATAACGAATTTTCACGGTATCCCAAATTATTTAATGGACATCGATTTTTGTTTCGTCGATTTTTTTGACATCAAATTGCCGAAAATGAAAATTTCGGCAATCCGCAATTCCATTGCCGCTCAGCCCTGATCTAAACCTTCGATTTAATTTTTTGAACTCATATTTTGGTACTCTATTAGTTTAGGGGATATTTATGATATTATTCAAATCGAATTTCGAAAACCATACTTGTTTTAGTCAGGTTTCTGAGTTTTTCTCGTGGAAGTATATATATATATATATTTATCGTTGAAGACAAGAAAATTTTGACACATTGAACGCGCTTGCGAAAATTTGTTCATTTAGCTCAAAGAGTTCAACTGAATCTTACTTATAGTATTTTTATGTCCGACAATTTTATGTTCTCGACAAATATGATAATAGAGCAAATTAAAAAAAAAAGAAACATAATGAGCAAACGAGAATGTAGAATTATCGTTTTTCCGGTACCACAAGTGTTCAACGCTGTCGCTGAAATTGAAAACTGTGTGAGTGAAAAAACGAATAAACCCCTGATTGCAGCTTCATTTTGATAATTCATTAAACATTTTGAGACGAATCGAATTCTTTTCAGGATGTCGAGAAGGTTGCTTCGAACTGCTATCCAATTCAGCAATCTGCCTACGGACTCGGACCATTCGCTGGTTGTAGTTTTCTCGGAAATGATACGATTGATGTTAGAAAACCAGCAACATTCACATGCTTCATTATTAATTGTCGGTTTTCAGGATTTCTATTATAATTGCATTTATGATGTGTGCATCAATGACAAATACAAATGCAACGAACTTCAGTATTACTACCACTACTGTCAACTTTCTCTTCCACTGATAGCACCGAATTCAAATTGGCGAGATCAAGTCGGATGCCCTCTAGCGTGTCCGTCGAATTCGCATTATAGCGTATGCACATCATCATGCCCGTCCACATGCACCGAGCCATTCCCTGAATTCTGCGACCAAGGTTCGAATTTGTAAATATTTTCGTGACAGTTTTTTGATTAGGATGTGCCGATGGATGCGAATGCGACCCCGGGTATGTTGTTGATAACACCATTTCGACATTTGTCAAGTGTATTCGGATCGAACAGTGCGGTTGTTCGGATGAGGATGGAAATCCGCATAGAGGTGAATGACTCCATATTCAGCACATTTAATCTCATTTTTTAAGCGAATAAACCATGGGTCACAAATAATTGTACAATTTATCACGAATGTCAGAATGGAACAATGTTTAGCGATGTAAGTAAAATGCTAAATCCTCCTCCTCAAGTATACAAAAATGCAAACTCAGTATCGTCCTTGTTCACCCGATGCGGTTTGTACTTTAAATGATATAAACCCTGCGTGTGTCTGCCAAAATGGATACCGAGGAGACGGCTATAATTGTAACGACATCAACGAATGTGTTGAAACTCCCGGAATTTGCAATCATGGACAATGCGTCAACACTCCAGGTATGCAAAAAAAACATGTTAAATTGAATAATTTGATTTCGTTGAATTCAATTCTCAGGATCTTATCACTGTTTGTGTGATAATTATTGGCAAGGAGACAATTGCGAAAAATACATGCCGAGAAGGCATTGTGCCGATTTGTATGTTTTCTGGGGAAACCGACAAAATGGAGCTTACACGTATCTCAATCATATTTTTGAAAATTAACGAGTTAAAGAATTACAGAATAAATCCACCATATGCGACACCAAATCGAAAACCGTATGACCCGTATTCGGTTTATTGTGATATGACAACTGACGGAGGAGGCCTCACATTGATGAGCGGCGATTCGATGAATTTGAATGAGAATAAAACCTATAGCGACTATTTGATTGGTTTCGGAGATCCGTCAACGCAAAATGTTTGGCTGGGATTGGAAATGATCCATCAAATGACAACTATTCAGCCGCACACGTAATTATTGAATTCTCAAAACCAAAATTATGCTGCTAATTTAAGTCTTCGCTTGAATTTATTCCGTTGTGCCAACAATGGACTGCCTTCGAAGACCACCGATTGCACGTACGGATCGTTTACAGTATTGGATTCGAATACACAATATTCTGTTTCGATTCCGGCGGTTTGTCAACCTTTTTCAGCCCAAGCTGTAGCTGTCTGATTTCACAATTTAGGCGTGCACGGGCTCGGAAGCCGACGATCATTATTATCAAGATGGATGGGCGAGATGGGATTTGAGTGGAATTGGTCCAAAATTTTCAACATTTGATACCGAAGACTCCATCAAAATGACCAATAAAGATGCTGGTGTGTTTTGAAAAAAAAACCGAAAATGTCTTGATTTTAAGTATATTATACTTGCTCAAAAGCCAATTTCAACACGGGTTGGTGGTATCTGGAAAACCAATTATGCGGAGCTGCGAATTTGAATGGAGTTCGGTACCAATGTCCGAATGTTCCATTAGAAAGTGAGAAATATCTACGATGGGCTGAAGGAACGTTGGGTCAAGCTTCGATGTACCTTCGACCTGCTGGATATCCAAACTATGATCCGAATAATTAATTACTTTGGCATTAAAGAAATGACACTCATTTATAAAAAGAACGCATTCCTGTCATTTTATGTCGTGCGTCTTCGCTGTGGTCTCGCGCGGACTAACTGATTATTTTGCATTTTACATTATTACAAGTATATCCGTCAATTTTTAATTTCACTATTTAATGAATTATATACTTGTAAATAAAAATTAAGCAATTCACGTGAATTTTTCAAAAAGGCCCTTACGTGTGGCGAGACTATTGCGAAAGGCGGCACAACCTTCTATGAAACAAACCGCTTATGGCATACAAATTCGATTTTCCAAAAGACATCCCATACGCGTTGGACTTTCATAAGTCCAGATGGCCTCTTCAAGCACGAAATCGATCACATCCTCGCCAACGGGAGGTTTGTAACAGATACTTCGGTGCTACCATCATTCACAGTAGGAAGCGACCACCGCCTTCTTCGTGCGAACATCCACTTCAACATAAATTGACTGAAGTATGATAAAAGCAGAAAGAGAAAGGCGCCAAAGAAAGTATTGGACCCGGAGATGGCTAAAACAATAAGCTCGATTATTTCAACAGCGTTGAAGAAGATTACTCTAATCTAACAACGCTACTCAGGAAACTATAAGACCAAACCATTGTTAAACCATCAAACCACCGGACCAATAGGATCTCTGTCGAAACAACAATTGATCGTAGTAGACGAAACATGAGAAGGCCCGATCCCAATTTCAAGAACCTCTCAAAACAATTTGCCTAAGGGGAAATGTCGAATTAGAACAAAATTTGGCAAAACGGCGAAATAGTAAATTTTTAGAGTTGTAGCGATGCATCCAAGGAAACCACCACTGGAAGGTTAAACGAATATCCGTGGTGGGTCTATTGGTATATATGATTAGATTTTGTTAATAGTCTTCGTTAGTTTAATGAAAACAACTAAGCACAGTTTTTATTCGGCAACATATTTATTTAAAACATTTTAAAAGATTTATTAATTATTTCGATAGATCATTTATACCGTATAATCTGTATGAAAATGGTACTTCCAACAAAAGAGCCTTTAAAAAACTTCTCAAAGTGTAACGGTGATCTATTTTTTGAATATAACGTCCTTGCTGAAATTTGGTAAGGAGCAAAATTAGAAACATTCGGCAATGTTTTTTTGAAATTTGTAAAAAAAACTTCGATAAACCGAAAACGATATAGGTTTCTAATAGGCTTGACGTTATACACTGAAAAATTCCACAATAAATAAATTTATAAAATCTCACTTATCGCGTTATTCAATCCCGTTCTTATTCGCACTCTCTGCGGATTTTACTTCTTAAAACTAGTGACTCTCTTGCTGCAAATAATTACAGTTTAACATAATCTGTAAATTTCAAAAGGAAAATTGCGTACTTTAGGAAACATCGAATATTGTGTTTTACAATCCAATACTTATCCGGTAAAGTCCTCGATTTGCTCAATCTGTAAAATTTAAATAACTCGAATAAATCCCACTAATAAAAAAACGTTAAAAACAACAAAGAATGTTGCGAAAGATACGAGATGTATAGATAAATATTAATACAGTGCGTTGCAGAATTATAAGGCCACCCCCAAATTTAAGCGCCGCGCAATGATTTCGATATTTTGAGACCAACCAGTGTGAAAATCGTGTTCAGCATGAAAAATAACCTATATACAGGGTGTCATTTAAGTTCCCGAAAAAGTTTGAGCCAGAAACGGTGACTTTCGTGCACCAAACAATTATTTTTGTTAAATAAGGATATTTTACACTTCCAAGTTTCACCCATCGGAGGTCGAGAAATGGCGAAGCAACACCACGCGTCCATTATCGAATTTCATAAGCAAAAGAGCCCGAGAGACACATCAACGGGTCGGTGTGCCTCGTAGAACGGTTTATGACACCATCAAACGATCAAGGAGCAAAACGACCAGGACCGTCCCAGACAAGGAAGACGCAGTAATCACCCTCAGAAGATCAACGCCGTAAACGAGGATCAGGGAAAAACAGAGAAAGAGGCGAGACAGGAAAGCAGCTAGAACAAATGCAAAGCGAAGCACACCAACGTGTCCAAAAGCGGCAATTATCGGCCGTCAGCAAGCAGAGAGCTTCGAAAAAGCAAAACGACTCTTCTCGCAGCGGCCTGAGAACACCTCGTCACTGTCTTCGACGAGAAGCTATTCACTGTGGAGGCGGCATTCAACTCACAAAACCATTGAGTACTTGCCCAGACATCCCAGCAAGCTTCTGAAAAGGAAGAACAATTCATCCAGCCTCACATCCTGCCAGTGGATGGTTTTCGGTGCCATCTGCTCAACCGGGAAGTGCCCCCTGGTTTCGTGGATCAGGGGTGAAAATGAACAGAGAAGTCTACGTTCGGGACATTTTGGAGAATCATGTGATGCCCTGTACCCAAACGCATTTCGGTGGGCAGAAATGGGTCTTTCAACAGGACGGAGCACCCGCCCACACTGCCAAAACTACTCAGGAGTGGTGCCAGACCCATTTTCCCGACTTCATCAAGTCATCCGAATGGCCTGATCGCTCCCCAGACCCGAAACCGCTTGACTTTTCCGTGATGGGGTCTTGCAGGAGAAGGTCAACGCAAAACCCCACTCAAGTATAGAGGCTCTGAAGAAGACATTACTGGCGGAATGGGACAATCTTTCCATCGAACACCTGCGTACCACAGTCATATCCTACCCGAAGCGTCTCCGTGAAGTCATAGCTGCGAAAGAAGACCGAATCGAAAAGAGTTAAAAGATAATTATTTGTTATACTATAGAAAAAATATATTTCGAGTCTCGTTTGATTTGGACTTTTAGTTTCAGAAATATACGTCTTCAAAGTTGTGCGGGAACTTAAATGACACCCTGTATATATATATCTATTTTTATGTTAGTATCTTCAAAAGTAACCGCGCAATGGTCCAAAACCGTTTTTTTCGAGCGGTGCAGAATTATAAAGCCACCCCCATGAAATACGTTATAAACTCAAAAATAACGACAGTTTAATGTTTAGTGGCACCTCCATTTGAGGTAATAATGTCAGAAACACGGTCTGGCATATATTTGAGGTTTTAAACATATTGGGTCGATTTAGATTTGAATTTCTGCTCTAACGTCTTCCATTCGACTACGATTTCGGTTTTGAGCTCTCCAACCCCGAATTTCTTTCCTTGGCCATAGAAACGCCGTACTAACACTCCCCAGACGTTCCACATGGGACTCCAAAAAGGAGAACATGATGGCCAATCGAGAACGTCCACACTGTGAGACTGAAGCCAGTCCAAAGTTGACCGACTCACATGAATGACCGCATTGTCCTGTTGAAAAAGGAAAATAATGACGTCGGAATGGAAGAATATGGCTCTCAAGAACATTCTGATAATCCGAAGAGTCCACCCTACTCGTCAGAAAAGCCAATTCCAGAAATCCGGCCTCCGAAAACGCTTCCCCCATAATATCACGCTTCCTTCTCTAAAATTGAGTTTTGAAAGCAGGAGGTGATTCTTTCATAACTCGGGCCAGCAACTGTTATAGCCGCCTGGGCCATCCAAATTATTTTTTTTTCATCGGAAAAAAATAACCTGTTGAAGTTTGAATGGCTATTATTCACAATATTCTCGAATATAAACACCTTGTTCCAATCCGTATTCATGTTTTTGAATGCGAACTCAAGGCGTCGAATTTTATGGTCCTCTGTGAGTCGCGGAGCCGGCTTCATTTTTTCTCTGGCGATGTTGGGGGTTATTCTTGATGGTTCCCCAAACTGTCCACTTGCTTTTGTCGAAGTTTAGCTTCTTCTTGATGTCATTTGTAGACTTCATACTGCTCGAAGCTACTCGAATGCTTGCTCGATTAGCGAGATAGTCCAGTTTTCCTCTGGCGCCTGCCTTTTGCGACATGTTGACACGAGTTAGATCCTTCACAAAGATGTCTACGAATGTTTTCGGACCATTTTAATTCTTCGCAACCCGACAGTTCGACCATCCTGCCGTTTTGAATGCGGTAATCTGAGATTGCTCAGAAACACTAAGACAGCGACCACGTGGCATTTCAAAATGATTCAAAAAGTGAAAAATAAGGACCACTGTAGGTTCTCAAAGCCACACAACAATTTTTATGCACACTGGTCCCGCCAAAGTTTCAAAAAAATGCGAAAAAGTCCGTTGTATGGGGGTGGCTTTATAATTCTGCACCGCTCGAAAAAACGGTTTTGGACCATTGCGCGGTTACTTTTGAAAATACTAACATAAAAATAGGTACATATAGGTTATTTTTCATGCTGAACACGATTTTCACACTGGTTGGTCTCAAAATATCGAAATCATTGCGCGGCGCTCAAATTTGGGGGTGGCCTTATAATTCTGCAACGCACTGTACTTATTAAATTTAATAATGTTTGTTTTGTGAGTTGTGGAGCGACTTGGTTTGATGTGATGTGAATTTACCTCAAACTTGGGTAATTAAAATAAAAAAAAAGGTTTAATTACCCAAGTTTGAGGTAAATTGACCTTCCCTGATGATGATCTAAAGATCGAAACGTCGGATAAACATTTCAACACTGTGCAAGACATTTAAAATAAAGGGTCATATCAAGAAGATCTCTTCTACTTAACAATAATAATGTTTGAACAAGTTTCGTGTGGTTAAAAACTGCATGGAAATATTTAAAAAAGAAAAATAGGCCAAAAATAAATTTAAAAAAATTCAGCGTACGGTATATCTGTGCAGTTAGCCGTAGAGTGTTTACGGACTGCGTGTTTTCACCAATCATTTTTTAAATTTTTATTTTATTTTTGGCCTATTTTTCTTTTTAAAATACTTCTTTATTGCTTTTAACCGCACAAAACGTTTTCAACATTAGTAAATTCAATAAGTAATAATTTTTATCTATACATCTCATTCTTTCGCAACATTCTTCGTTGTTTTTAACGCTTTTTATTATTAGTGTGAATTATTCGAATTATTTATATTAATTTTTACAGACTTGAGGATTGAGCGAATCGAAGACTTTACCGGATAAGTATTGGATTGTAAAACAAAATATTCGATGTTTCCTATGGTAAATTTCAGTTCAATCTATGAATATACTTTTTCAAAAAATAATTTTACGTACGCAATTTTTCTTTTGAAATTTAAAAATTATATTAAACTTAAATGATTTGCAGGAAGAGAGTCACAAGTTATAAAGAGCAAAAAGTAGCAGCAGAGAGCGTGAATAAGGGAAGAAAAGGGATTGAATAACGAGATAAGTGAAATTTTATAAATTTATTTATTGTAGAATTTTTTAAAAGTGTATAACGTCAAGCCTCTAAAAATTTACTATTTCACCATTTTGCCCAATTATGTTCTAAATCCACATTTCCCCTTAGGCAATTGTGGTAATTTTATAATAAATGTATTATAATTTTTGTTAATCGAAAAAGTGATTGCTTGAAAAAAATGATGAACTTAATACCGTGAGTAGAAAAGTAGGGCTGAAAAAGTCAGGGTGGGGGAAAAGCCAGGGAGGTATGGAAGTAAAAACAGTGGGTGGAAAAGTCGGGGTGGGTTGTAGTCATAAAAGCCATATTTGCGACGGGCGACGATCATGGTGCTTCTAACTTCGCCAAGGTCGTCGTAATGCCTCAAGAAAAAATGCGCGAGCGGAAAAAATACTCGTAGAACCCCCACAAAAACATTTTTTAAGCATTTCCATTACTTTTTAGATTTAAAAAAAAAGAAGTCAGGAAAACCAAAAACCACCTTATCTAGGACTCATTTGTGTGACAAAACCCTTCAAACCACTCAACATCCCAAAATACCAAAAATGGAAACAAATAATTTTTGAAGTTTTTGCTGCTATTTGAACTATTGCAAAGCTTTAGCACATTCCTTAAAAGGCTTACCCGACATATATCCATTAAAAAGGCTTACCTGATATATATAAAGTAGAAAAATTAAAAACAAAAAAAACAAGGATAAAAATAAAAGAAGCCAAAATTATCGTCCAATTTTGATTCAAATGTCGATTCGATTGATTCCATCGAAAGTGTCTTCCTGAAAATATTTGGAATTGTTTCAGAATTTCGTGATTTTATGTATTTTTACTATCTAAACACGGAAACATTTTTTTTCCAGAATAAAAAGAATCGACAAGAATCAGTGATCGTGGAGAATCAACTCCAACAATTGAAAATATTATCGAAATTTAAAAATCATTAAAATCAGGGTTCCAGAAAGAGGCGAGGAACCTGCTTTTTTCAACACTGATTGAAATCAAATTAAAAACTATCTAAATATTTACAACGGATAAATCGGACAATTCAGTACGGCCCGCCCATCGCAAGCATACTGATAATAGCTTCAAAAGTATGAAAATGGTCATTACAAAAAATGTTGTTTCCGTATCAATTGTAAATCTGGCTACTGCAAAGATTTGCAGACTTTAAGCTGGTGTTTCTTTTCGCGCGAAGGCGGTATATTGGATAAAAATTTAATTTTACAGTCACGGTGTGCAGTGTACGTCCTTATCCTAGCCTTATTTTTAACCATTACTTATAATTAATTTGCAATTTACAAACTAATTAGAGAGCGCTAATTAACCAGTTTTTTAAATGAACGAAATGCACGATAGAATGTTGAGTTTTCCAACTTTCGTCATGCATAGAAAAACAATATTTCCAACTTTTGAAAATTACCTCTCTCAAAAATATGCACTTTATTCCTTATTTTACCTTACTCTAAACATGCTCTACGAAAGGATTGTTAGCACTTTACCAATTGATAACAGCTAGTGTGCGATTACCTTATGTTTATCTTCTGATCCGACATGTTCCAATCAGTTTCGAATTTTTTTTAATCTGAAACAAAATATTGAAAAAAAAAGATTAAAGAAGTAAAAATGTCACTGTTTGAAATCCTGATTTTCATGTTCGTCATCCTCATTGTTCTCGAGACACGCTCACAGCGGTTCGGAACCTTCGATCTCGGGACAAACGGATATCATAACATTTAAAATATTTCGTAATTTTAACTGAATTCGTTAAAAAAATGATTTAAAACATAAAAGATGAAGCAAACACTTACACGACTGTTATTAGCCGCTTATCGGCGAATGAAGAGCGAAAAATAAACAATGGAAACAAATTAGAAATGAATGGAAATGAAGTCACGTTGGTTTTGATGTTTTAAATATTCACGTGATCAATTATTTTTGGAATAACCTCCTTAAAAATTGAGAAAATTTACGTAGAAGCGGATTTTTTGCCAACAAACACGAATTATACGAATTTTGGTCAATGATTTTTCATTACAGCTTCTCCGATATCGATTTTTTCGCGTCCATGATTTTCATTAAACGAAAGTTACATTTTTTCTGCAAGACATAGTTAGTTGCATGTCTAAAATAATGGAGTTCCGCCTAAGCAATGATGAAAGGTCATTGTGAACATGTATGTATATTGCGGAGAGATAATGCAGAACATTTTAACGGTCACCACCGTTTAAACGAATATCAAACTAACTTGAAAGAGCTGCTTTTCGTCTCCCCTTCTTTATTCACTTTATTTTGTCTCTTTATTTTGTCGCCGCAAAATTTTCTGTTTTTCTTTGCGCACTCGCATCTCCCACAATGAAAAGGATAGAGTGTGGCGAAACCCGGCAAGTGTCGGCAGCGGGCGTCACATAGGTGTGCACGAATAGTGGCATTCGTCGAGACCATACTATACAGAATCATTTCTGTAGTGTGTATCTCGTTATTCCCATTAATCTGGTAGAGATGCCAACTGCGATGAATGGGAGACGGGCAGGCCGCGAGCGTGAAGCAGCACTTTGTGTGCTTGATGACCGCGTGGAGCCAATTAGCCATTTTTGGAGCCACAGTGGCCTGCTCATCTGAGCAGTTTATTCGATTCACAATATTAAAAAAAATATATAGCTGTCGGCAAAGTAAAGAATAAAAACAGTGAGCACTTTATTCGTCTTAAATCAAATTTTAGTATGGTCTTAACCAGTCCGAATTTGAAAATTTCAAAAAAAAAGATTAGTCGAACTAGAAAGTTTAATTTTCAGAAAGTCTTGAATGTAACTAGTTTACCATTTTTAAAGAAATCGGTTAACCGAGTGATGAATCTAACCACTTCAGTCGTTCTTGATTTTATTTGTTCGATTTCTTATCTACAGTTTCATTTATACATATTTTTGTAATTTTTGAAGTTATCCCTCCCCTCTCATTTAAAACTTTAAAAAATCAATATCGAACCCATATTTCGACAATTGAACTCAGATGGAGGTTTTTTTGCAATGGTAATATTTTGGGAACACAAGAGATGTGTTTTAGTCCCTTTCGACATTCGTCGTTCTTCCCGAAGAGATTAATAGACGAGATTCGTGTGTTTATCTCATCTCCGCAAATTCGCTTCGACATTAGGTGCCGACTTCAAAACGATGAATTCAGGAAATTTCTGCAAAAGTATTTGCCCTTTTCTCTGCTATTTATTTGCCTTACTATACATTTTCTTAAGCTGTTATTCACAATATCTATTGTACAATGAAACGGTCAAAACTGTTCCAATGGTACGAACTCTTCGGGTTGGCAATTTTCTAAATTTATTTTTTTTATTTCAGTATCTTAGCACATTTTTCGACGATAATTTGAAATGTTTGAGAGGAAAACTAGGAAATCTTTCGGATAATCAGGTAACTCATTATTTCTCCAAAATTGAAAAAAAAATAAATTTAGATATGGGAAATGGTTACGCCGATTATTAATCAATGCAGTATTCGAAAGGTTTTAGCATTGAAACCGATTCACAATCAAGACGAAATTAAATTCTTTTGGAGTCCAGTAATTTAAAAAAAAAAACAAAAAATGTTGAATTGTAATCTCTTCAGAAAGAATCGCGTAGAATGACACCGTGTGTTGTTGTTACTTTGGGAGTTGGAAAAGATGTTTCTGTGGAATCGGAAATTAAAAAGCAAATACCCGATTGCACTTTTATCGGTGCCGATCCAATGGGAGATGACAATAGACCACTTTATGAGCCGGTAAAATTTTCTCGCCGCCTTCAAATCAAAGTAGTTTTTATTCTGGTAATTCATTTGTTCATAATCGTATATAGTCGCATATTAGTTCTTCGAATACTCAATAATACTATTGAAATTAAAAATTAACGGAATGACATTTAAAATGCAAGATATCCGGTTAGCCCTTGCGAGATATAGCGAAAACCCATTTACATACGTCGATCTACCGGCGTACAGTCGTTTCCGGACCCCGACTAAACTAGCATATCGCTTTTCGTACGCGGCCAAATGCCATTACGATTTTATTGTATTGTCGGCGTCCGGCGACTGCTGTACGCGGGTAGATTTACGGGAATGCGTCTTTCGAAATGGTCTCGCATGGACTAACATGTTATTTCGCATTTTATGGGTCGGTTCGATAAATTTTAAATCGAACGACGTTCGAAATTCTAAGAAATGCCAAACTCATCAAGAAAAATGAAGCAGTTCATGTGAAAACAGCAAAATTAGTATTCGCGCGTGGCGAGACCTTTTCAAGGCGCATGCGCGTAAATCTACCCGCGTACAGCAGTCGCCGGACGTCGACTATATACGGTTTTAATATTATCTTATAAGATAGCAAAATGAAGTTTTATAAACTAAAAAAATAATTTTTTAGATTGGCGAATTTTACAATTTTGCTGTTGGCGCAAAAAGCGGAAACGATATCGCCAGTGTTTTAACAGGTGAAAACTTGTCAAATAATGAAATGGGGCATAAAAAAATAAGCAACCCATTTTCCGCGTAAAGAGTTAGGACAAAATGAGACCGTTGGGGGTTCTTACGAAACATTTTGTTTTTTGGGGTTTTCATTCAAATTTTCGATTGAAACAATAGAAATTAGTGTAACGAACTAACCCGCGAGTCAAAGTTTTTTTTAGAATAGAAATATTTGTGAGTAAAAAAATTGTCAAGAATTTCACCCACTTTGCCCTGGTGTTGACATTCGACTTTTTTGGTGCAATTTGACATTGACTTAAAACTACAATATTGTTGAAAAATGACAAATGTATCCCGGTGTCGTAGGATCCTGCGTTTTGTACGCAATGCTAAGAGACAGTTACCGTAATCCTCGCAGCGATTTACGGGGACTTTTTTTTTAATTTCGCATAGTCATTTTTTTTAATTTTTCGTTCAATTTTTTAATTTTCTTTCGAAATGTTTTAATTTAAATTTTTAAATTTTGCAGAAACCGAGTTTAATAATGTATTTAGCAGAATAAGCACTTTTAAACGATATTTTTATGGTAAAATCAGCAGAGATTAAAAAGAAATCATTTTTGTCGTTAATAAAATTATTTAATCGTGTTTTGCTCTTTGTATGCGTTTCTATTATCTTGTTTTTGTATTCTTCATTTTCAAAATAATTTTTAGAACGTCAAAATCTTTACAATAATTCCCAACTCAACTTGTCAAGTGGAAAAGTGCATATTCTGAAAAATAAATAATTAAACTCGGTTTCTACCGGTTTTAAATATAAGATTTCTAAAGAAAATAAGAAAATACAGCAAAAAATTGAAAGAAAATTAAAAAAAAAACTCCGTAAATCGCTACGAGGATTACGGTAACTGTCTCTTAGCATTGCGTACAAAATGCAGGATCCCACGACACCTGGATACATTTGTCATTTCTCAACAATACCTACAAATACATAATGTTTCATTCTTATTTTTCAGAAGTTGAAGAAATTGGGAAGGTTTATACGAATAAAAATGTTGAGCATAAAGAATATTCAGCGTTTCTCAATGAAACTGTGAAATGTAATGTAAGAATGATTTTGTTAATTTGCGAGAGATTCGATAACTATATTTAAGTATATTGATCTGATGCTTATGGATATCGAATACGCAGAATTCGGGATTTTTGACAAATTATCGATAGAAGCTCAAGGAAATCAAGGAAAAATTATTTGTCAGGTAACGGAATCATAAAATTTAGTCAATAGAAATTCCAAAAAATCGGATTTTTTTTTTTTGAATATTCGCAGCTTCTTTCAATATTTTTTCAATCTAATTATTTTTATTATTTAAAATACTTAATTATACCCTAATTAGTTTTTATTTTTATCAATTAATGTCAGATTCTGACAAAAAATAAATAAGAATTGACGTTAAAAATATTGGAAAAGACTAAACGTGGTAATTTGATCTACTGGAAATTTTTTGAATTCCAGATAAACATTGAAGTACACTATACAGAATCACCGGAAAAGCGAAAATTATTCGCGGATTATATCCGCAAAATTTTAGAAGAAGGAGTTTACCATTTGTTAGAAGGATCGGTGGCTGATGGGCATTTAAGGTAGATTTTATGCGAATGTTTTTATTAAACCGAAAATATTTAGATTATTCATGACGAGAAGAAAATGTCGAGAATAATTTAAAGAAAACAATCAAGGAAATCGGGATAATTTTATTTTTTTAAATCTTTATTAAATATCACATTATAAAAGCTAATGCGAAGCAAGCAAATCTCTTCGATTGCGAGATGAAGCTGAAATTTGGTTTCGACGTAAAATGTACAGACAGCTGATGTTATTCAAGACGAGAGTTATTCAAGATAGAAGATTGGTCGAGGCTTTGGCCGAAGAGGAACTAATCGATGAGCAAATGTAATCCAGAAGCTGGTAACCACGACGAGTTGTACCAACAGAAGCTCCCAGACACGACGTGGACCAAAAAATGAGTAAACCACCCTGAAAATGGACAACGATGTACATATTAATCAGGAAAAGCGAATTACATGGAAACAATTGGAGCAACGCATCTTGCGATGATTTGAGAAACGTCGTATAGACTTTGTTCAACAGCCTCAAATTTTGACATCTCCTTTTTTTTCGAACCCGTCTCATACCTGTCCAACTGGATTGAACAGGGTTGAATAAAGTGTAGCATCAGTTACGTTAATGAAAGGAACCGATGCGCCAAATGTCAGTATAAAACCAATGTAGAATATCTGCAAAGACATACATTTTCAGAATCAATCATAAATTTACGTGATCATACAGAATGCAATTGATCTTAATTAAATGAAAATAAATAGTTCACTTTTTTTCTATGCAGATTTTCGCGAATAACTCAAAAAACCCGTTTAAAATCTATTAAAATCGTAAATTATAATAACGAAAAAACTGGTTTTTCACCAACTTAAAAAAATTGTATTTCAAACTTTGCATAGTGCTGTGATATGTTGATAATTTGTCAAACCTCTAGTGATGTTTTTGTCAGTCCCTCGCACCAACTATATCTACTCTGATTGCATCCGCCAATGCTTCCTTCAGTCATAATCGGCACATGAGTTTCTAGAAATTGCCATTGATACGTCGCAAGCAAATACGCGCTGAATGCCAAAAGTGCGACTGTGTTCGATTTTCTAATATTGAGCTGAGTTGCAGCATCGGTCAATGAGAAAATGAGGTAGAAGCATATTGAGACAACTCCGGATACGAAAAGGACCACCGACATTGAGCCGACCGCATTCTGGCGACCTACGTTGTACATCATCATAATGAAAGCTGGGGCGAGCCTGTAATTCCGTTTTCGTTTTTCAATTCCATATTGCAATTTTACGTTTCAATCGAGAAATATGTGAAGTTCTGCGCATATCGTGTCAACATGCAAACGAACATTGCGATCCGATCAGGTGTTGGGAAATTCTCGACGACTTCCATGCTCCGTTGACTACAGAATGATCCATTCTCGACTTCGTGGAAAAATAGGAAAAGAGCAGCGATTGCGGAGAGATTGAGGATGATCGAAATAATTGCTGGAGCATTGTTCGAATGCACTTGGAACTCGCGATAGACATTCCATCCGATCTCCCCGAGATATAAGAAAATCAATTGAAGGCCTGGTCCAGATACGAGTCCGAGAGCTCGACCGCCGATGAAAATCGACATTGCTTTTGCACGATCCTCAATTTTTGAATGTGCTGTTATGGTGGTCCGAAGACAGCAAGTGATTCCTTCAATTTTCGATAAGTTTTCAATAAATCTTAAATAGTTTGGCGTGTTTCGACCAAACGCTTTTCTATGAGTTCAGTTTTTTGATGATCTATCGATGCTTACCCATTCCAATTCCTCCAATAAATCTGATAATAAAAAAATAGACAATGACGAACGAAGTTGGTATGAAGTCAGCAAAGAGGAATAGAATGTCACCGAAAAGTAAAAGACAATATCCGCATGTCATCGGATATTTCGTCTGTAATTTCAGCAGTTCGCCTATTTTGGTCATGATTCGAACACTACCCGATAATTTCGACGCGTCCAGTTGGCCAAATAGAAAGCTCCGAGACAATGTCCGATGCCGTGCACTGCCACAATTGCGCCGAACAAGACAAGCGTGGTTGATGGATAAAGCTGCGAAATCGGACGAGGCGGTTTCTCGACGAATCATTCGAACAAACCTTTGTTATATAAGTATACCATATTGTCGTAAATATCGCATATTGGAAATAAACGACAAACGAGAAAAATCCGCAAAGTGTCACAACATCCCACGAGGTTTCGATTATCACCCGCATTCGAAAATCTAAACCAATTTATGAGTTGGGATGTTTTAAACGTTAAAAAAAATCGAAAATGAAATTCCGACCGAAAATATCAACATAACAATCGAATTTGCATGTTTTGTACGCTCGACGACTGCGAAACTCAACTCGTTGGAACGAATTCGTGACGAATTCAATAAAGTTCATTGATCGCCTTATCGAATGATTATCATTGTTCCGAAATGTCCGCTATTCATTCTATCAAATGATCGCTAAGCTTCTCCTTTTTCTATTTTCCTTTGTTCTTTTTACAAATGCCAACATGTTTGGCCGAATTTGTTTGCCAGAAAGAAGGAATTTCAAGAAATATTGGCCTTGCGAACAAGATACTCTTGAAGATGAAAGTAAGTTCAATTAAATAAATAATTTATAGTCCATTTCTGAAAAAAAGAGCAATTATCCGATTCCAAACCTCCGTCTTCAGACGCGTTGCGGTTCGCATTTGTGAAGCCACGTGTTTCATTTTTCATTCTTGTTTCCGGATTTCCTAACAAACTGAGTTTCTAGAATTATCAGAACCAATTTATGTTGCGATCACTAAATTTGAAAAAAATTATCTTTTTGCGTGTTCTCGCGGTGTCTTAGGACAAGTGTTCATACGTTTATGCCCAAAGGAAGTTGTCCGATTTTTTTTTTTCAAATATCGAAATACTTGGTTGTCTACGAACGTTCGCAAACAAACAAGTTCACCGGTTTTTTTTTTTCTTAATTCAATTTTCAATTTAACCGGTGTAAGTTAGTGTACCGTAATACAGTAATCTACAAATCAAACTAACAGTATTTTATATAACATTCTCAAAAAAAAAGCCACTCTGTGCCGATTTACGCTGAATTAGCTTCGCATGCTATCCAGATTACGGCATAAGAATTCCCGCTTTTTAAAATTCAAATTTGAATTATCGCCTCGAAAAAAGTCGGCAATTATTCAAAGCGCTTATTTTTCTGCCATAGTAATAAATGACAGTAATTATGGCGCTCTTTTTTTGATGATAATATTTAAATTTACATTCATTTCATCTTCAATTATTTTTTTATTTTTGGCCAATTTCTATCTTTCCTAATGAAAAGGATAGAGTGTGGCGAAACCCGGCAAGTGTCGGCAGCGGGCGTTACATAGGTGTGCACGAATCGTGGCATTCGTCGAGACCATACTATACAGAATCATTTCTGTAGTGTGTATCTCGTTATTCCCATTAATCTGGTAGAGATGCCAACTGCGATGAATGGGAGACGGGCAGGCCGCGAGCGTGAAGCAGCACTTTGTGTGCTTGATGACCGCGTGGAGCCAATTAGCCATTTTTGGAGCCACAGTGGCCTGCTCATCTGAGCAGTTTATTCGATTCACAATATTAAAAAAAATAGAAAACTGGCAAAAAGTAAGGAATAAAAACAGTGAGCAGTTTATTCGTCTTGAATTGAGATCATTGCTTCAAAGCTGAACCTAATTTTCATAATTCAAATGAACAAAATCCCAAACAACCAATATTTTTTCAATGAAATTTTGCAAATCCGAACGAAGTTGGAATATACAAAATATCAAACAATTGTAAATTTGCTTCAGTGATAGAAAACGAAGATCGGATGAATGCGTTCCGTGGGTATCCGTCAAGATTTGCTCGTACTGGTTTCTATGACCGTCTATTCAGGCACATAATCCAACTAATTGCATCGAATAATTGAATTAATCGGTTTCAGACAACTCAACACGCCATTTACTTATTACAACAATGTACCTTATTACCCGAATTATGGATACAATGCCAATCTTCCACGAAATGGGCCATATCGCTACAGTAATTGGTTTGTGAAGACAGAATGAATTGTTTCTTTATGTTATTATTTATTTGCAAATCGAATAAAACTAAAATAACAATACTAAACGTGTATTTACAATAACCGAATATTTTCAAATCTTCTTCACATTTTTGGGATTGAGAATTTCGTCACGCAGAGATCTCCCGCCAAGAATCTAAAAACATCTTCAGAGGTAATTATTTAAAAAAAAAGAAACCTGTGCTCGATCAGGAACATAACTCTTATAGTTGATTCCAACGTAAATTGGATATGTCAGAGCACACACCGTGTAATATGCTCTGAAATTTCAGTAATTATTCATTACAATTGCAAAAAACGATCACCCTGCGCCGATTTACATTGAGTGTGTTTGATTCGCAGGTTATTCCTAGTACGGTACACCAAATTTTGTTTAAATTCCATTTTTTTGCGATTGTAAATAATCGTAAAAAATAAGAAGGGTTTGCGGAATTTTTAGAAAAAAAAACACTTTCGCGATTTTGAAAATTGGAAGTGAAATTTTTAGTTAGTGTGCTTTGAATTTGGTCATAATGTGGAATTTACATCTACGGGGACAAATATATACTCAAAGCCAATCGAATCCGACAATTTTACAATATTATCCGTAAAACTACCAATAGGATCGGGTTGATTCCGGAGCCGAATTTTGTCGGATCCAAATGGTGTTGAATTCGATTATCTATGGCGAATATTTTTCGGAAAGACGAATATTTCGAGAATTGTTTAATTACCTCAGCAGTCTCATTCGAACAGGACGCTCCAAATAATACCACGGCAAACTCATCTGAATATACATTGTGATATAGGTAAAAATTTCTAACTTTTTTATAAATGTAAGATGACGGAATATATACCATTTAAAACGTTTCAAAAATGTTATTTCCAACAATTTTATGGATCAAAACAATGAAAAAAGGAAGAAATAATAACAACAATGAAATCAACAAAAATCGATGTATAAAACCCATCCAAATACGATTGGAACGATGTGGTGGATCAAAAATGGAAAAAAACAACAACAACAAAAATTAATTATCAGAAAATTACTTCGTCTTGGTCTTTTTCGGTTCCGGAGCACTGGAGATGATGCCACTTTGCCTTTTTTTAGCCTTTGCCTTGGCACGCAACAAAGCTTGCTTGGCCTGAAAATAAGAAATGTATACAGGAGTAATCATTAAAAGCCTTTACTATGCATTTCGAAAAAAGTTCAAAACCGGAATGGCGCAAAAAACTAGTTCTTTTTTTGGTTTTGGAGTTTTCTCTTCGTAGATTTTCCGTAGGACCGTACCCAAATTCTCATTGTTTAATCGAAATTCGAATTTCCGTCTCGAAAAAGTGTAATGGTCCACACTTATTTAAGGCGCTAGTTTTTTGCGATGGTAATACTTCTATAAGATTCTACTGTCGGATTCCCACAAATGCGGAAAATGAATGGTGTGTCGTACTATCGTACTCATATTGGCGCGAAAACATATGACTAAAACATAATATGTAGAAAAAATTTATGGCAACTTGCCAATCATTTGATCGTGAAGCGTAATCGTTCGTGAAAACATTTAAAGCCATTTATAAAAATATTTAAGCAACTGTTTTGATAAATGAAATACCTTGAATTCCTTGGTCTTCTTTCTCTTGATTCTCTTTTTCAAAACTTTAGCAGGATCGATGGTAACTTTGATGCTGTCTCTTTCAGACCATTCATCTTTAACTGTAATACCAATCGTTAAAAAAATGAAACAAAAAATTGACAAACTTGTAGGATAGAGCACTGCCTCGGAAGTATCTTCTTTCAATACACGAATTCTTCCGTTATTTCTCACAGCAAGCTTTAGTCCTTCCGGTAATGTGCTGCAATCATCAACAACTTCTTTCAGCTTCTCGTTATCTCGTTTCGATGACAATGGAAGTTTGATCTCCGTAGCAGATCCTGCATTAAAAAATCAATATGAAAATAAATGTTTTGTTAAACTTCTTACCGTCATCAGCATAAATTGGAAGTTGCGGATCAGCAGAAGACGGATGCAAATAGATGTTTCGAATGTTGAAGAATCCTCCGGGACAACCTTTCGAGATAGCATCGAGAACAGCCGAAATGTTTTCATGGATCTCAACAGTCGATTGACCGAGATGACCAACGTTGACGGAGACACGCGGAAGATATCTCTTGAGTGGGTAGATGACAGTTCGAAGCGCATTCTCAATTGTCGTTGTCATTGGCTTCTCATAACGGAACGGAAGAGGAGCTCTGTAATTAAAATACACCTCTTAAGATGTTTTGAATTTTTAAATTGTATACATTTTTTTAAAATTAAGCTTTAACAAATATACATTTTTAATTTGCAGATAATTCTTTTTGTGGAGACATCCTACATGAGAAAACTTACTTGTGCGCTCTATAGAACTCTTTCCCCAAAAATGTTTGAGTTGATTTGTAGATTCGTTCATCGGCGAGAAACATGTCATATTGAGAAGCAAGTGCTCGTCGATCTTTATACGTGTGCGCGACTCGCTCAACTTCTCTCTTCGTCATGATTTTCGTAATGTGAGCATTCGTCAATCCATGATCCTTCTCAATCTTATCAGCCCACTCACGCGCTTGTTTTTCAACATCGAATTCCCGCTGAAAGTTTTCAGAAATTTGATTTGATTGTCATTATTTCTAAGAAAAAATACCTTCGCATCATCTGACTGATCAAGGTCCGGCATAATAACACAAATAGTCGTGTTATTAATTGTTTTTCCCGAATTAGGAATCTGGCTAAATTTTTTTCTATTAAATTGAATCGACTTTAGATAAGTTACATCTTGAGTCTTCCTTGATCAGTGACAATAGCTGGTTTCTTGTATGACACGGAAATAGACAATGCATAATCAACGTCCGGAAACAATGATTTGTCGTTTTTATCTGCGAAGAACTTTTTGAGTGAACTGATCGCTGATAGGGCCTGAAAATTAGAATCACACGCTTCCTTTCTTAAAAGAAATTAATTTTTATAATTTTATCGTTTTAGATATAATAATTATTTAAGGTAATACAACAAATAAGTTGTTATAATATTTACCTGATCCTTTGCTTCTTGGATTCGTTGAGTAGCATCAAAGTGTTTCTTCGAGGCTGCTGGTGCAGTCGAAACTTTTTTCTTATTCGGAGCCGATTTAATGTTAGACTTTGTTTTAGCATCATTCGCCTCTGCTTCTTCTTTAATTTCTTCTTTTTTAGGAACAACCTTCGTTGATTCAACTGTTTTCTCAACCACGACATCTTCATCAGAGTCTTCAATTACGATCGCAGCCTTCTTTTTTTGTTTCTTAGAAACCTACAAACGTCACGAATAAAATTGTTATAAATTTCAATCAATACAGTAGGCGGAGTTTTTGGAGTCGGCGGTGCGGGTGTCGCAGCAGCAGCCTTTTGCGCTCGGGTTTTCGGCGACTTCTTTGGCAAAGGAGTGTTTTCGGCCTTCTTTGGAGTTTTTGACAGCGTTTTGGTGGCAGATTTCGGTGTTGCCTAAAATGCAAAATTTTTTTTTGTATTTTTAACATGCGAATTCTCACCATTGCTTTACCGTCTTTTGTTTGTTTCACCATCTGAAAACAATTAAAAACAAACTTCTAGTTAATTATGTGTAAAAATAGATAAAGCTGGTTCAAAACCATATGAAACAAATAATCAAAGCGACAAAATTTGCTAAAACTTTATTCATAATAAGAATCAGAGATATAAACCAAAACTACAAAACCATGGTGCTATAAAATGAATACGTCTACATTAAATGGAAGGTTTTGGTAGTTTGAACGAGGCTATTTACTTCAATGCGTCTTGAAGACCATATCCTGGTCCGGTTGGTGGCTCTTTGAGTGATGTCAGCTCACCGAATGGCTCGGCAGCCAATCTTCCAGATCTTGGACCAGCCAATGGCTTCTTTCCGGCTTTCAACTCGTCCAAAATCTCACCAACGTCCTGGAAAAAAACTATATATATATAATCAACGCGCGACTGCAAAAATTGCTTTTTCGGCTTTTAGTCCATATTCTGCAATCGCTCGACGTGGACAATAAAAAAAACACAAACTTTTGGAGTTAGATCCTCGTAATAGTCGTCGTTTATTTGAATCATTGGAGCATTAACACAAGCTCCAAGACATTCAACCTCAGCGAGTGTAAAAAGCCCATCCTTAGTTGTCTCACCGGCATGAATACCCAATTTCTTTTCGATCGTTTCGGTAATCGTTTCAGCTCCACGGAGCATGCAAGGGGTTGTTGCGCAAACCTTTAATGTTCCTTATTTTAGAATTAATAATTAAATTTACTTGGAGGAAATATTTTCCGACCGGTTGCCTATTGAACATGGTGTAGAAAGTTGACACTTCATATGCTCTCATTCGTGGAACCTTGAGAATTCTCGCGACTTCGTGCATTGCCGAAATCGGTAACCATCCGTGTTGGCGTTGGGCCAAATCCAAAAGAGGAATCAATGCTCCAGCCTTAAGAAGAACTTTAAAATATGAATATTTGCTTGAAACAATTTTACCTTATGTCCTTCGGGATAAATTGCCAGGATTGCTTCAATTCTCTTTTCATTCTCTGGAGTAAACTTGAATTTGACATTCAAGTTATTCTCTTTAGTGTCACGATGAACCATTAAACCAGTGGCTCCACCTCGCTTTAGAACCAATCCAGAAAGCCGTGAGGCTTGGAGCATGACGCTAGACGACAGCGACATTTATCACAAGGCTGATCACCTAGAGATAAAAAAATACGTTTACTGATAATTTTTTAAAAATATGACAGAGAAATGAGCTATAAATTTGCGAAATCATAAACATTATGACGTGTAAAAACCTTCTAAATAATATTCATTAAAAGCATCCGGACTCTTTAAAAAAATTATTTGCAAAAAAACAGAAATGTATCGTTCAAAACGCGATTATCAACAAAATTTGCAAAAACGCTCTACAAAGTAGAATAAAAAAGAGGCGAACGAAATTTTTAGGAATGGGCGGAAAACGAAAAACGGCGTGGCCTAGTTTGTAATTTGATAATTCTAGTCCCTCGGTCACCTCAAACGCGTGATTTTTATTTTCGAATTTCAGCAAATCGGGACCTAGAAACGGCGGTTAAAAGAAAATTTTGGTGAAACGCTGGTAAAAAAGGTTTGTTTAATTTTTAAAGACGGATAAATATATTTTAATCGGCGTTTCACAAAAACCCATTTATCACCTCCGTTTCTATGGCACCTTTGCGTTCCTTAGTTATTTAGTTCAGACAAATATTTAACTCAAGCTTTTAAATAAAATTTTCGAAAAACTTTATTACAGAAAAATTAAAATAGTTAAAAACAAAAAAAAACTATTTATTCAAAGTCGAAGTTTTCTCTTTACTGGGTTTTAATTCTCGTGTTTTTCCTTGTCTTTTAGCTTTATCGGCGAATTCCGTAAGTTTCATTACATTATTTTTGACTTCTTCGTCTTTTCCCTTTTGTTCGCGGTAATTGTGAGATAATGTAGATATCCAGAAGCGATCGATTAATTTAAATAAGCGCGACAATATCTCAACAAAGACAACAACCGAAATGAAATAAATTGGATAAAATTCCACTAAAGAAATGTTGATTCATTTGATCTCACTATTGTTTATAGTACTATCTTCGATTTTATCTATTGCATTTAAAATCTCATCATCAATTAATGCTCCAGATCTTTCAAAAACTGTCAACATTTGAGGGTCCAATTTCAATGATGGACACTGCTGAATTTTAATCGGTATTCCACCATCTTCACAAGTAAATATTGTGTCCGGGGCAAATATTAATGTACGCAGCTGTACATTTTTAGCAATGTACAACGCAGGACCTGAATACAGTATACAAAAATATAGTTTTTTTTTTCTCTAAAAATCGAACATTTTTTAGAGTGTATTGCCTTTAGCGTGGGCATGTGAAATTCTGTTATTTTTATATTTCCAACAATCTGCAATTGTCCTCGAACCTCTCGTGTCAGACCAACATTTGCAACGATATTATTGTCTCCCGAATGCCGATTGATTATCAATCCATCGACCAATACTTCACATCCAATGTAAAATCTAGCAGTGTATGGTGACAAATAGCCACCACGGCATTCGCCGACTAAAAATCGTGTTATTATTTTTTATATGTACGCAAGACAGCTTTTCAGCGATTTCCTTACAATACCACAAGATATGTTGATCGTGTTAAAAATTACTCACAATCAACTTTTTTGAAAACATGCGACCAGAGAAAAAAATCGTTAAACTGACAACTCACGCTTGCAATTGATCTGTGTCTCATTATTTTTCCAGCGATCAACATCAAAATTTGTGTTCCATTTTGTTTCAAGTTCTTTCAAAGAATCGTCGCAAAGGAACGGATTTTTGTAAAATTCTTTGTAAACGTGTTTTCTCTTTTATTATCAGGAATGCTGTTCTTACTGTGTTTTGTATGGCATACCGGATAGAGATGTTTCAATCCATCAACGTTCTTTATAATAGTGTGCGACATCTTAAATACCAGCAAACATATTTATAACTAAAACGCAATTTTATAAATTTTGCAAAAAGCATTTATGAAACAATAAAAATTTGGAAAGGAAACCCAAAAACAATTATAAATGGTGAGTGTTTTCCGCAATTTGCATAATTTATTTAAAAGTTTTAGACCTTTTTTTCTTTTTCCCAAAGTCTGTAGTACCAAAATAGTACTATGCAGATTTTGAAAAAAAAACTAAAATCTCGCGCAGAATATTTAGAGTTTCCTAAAGAATTTTTTATCGGTTTTTTTTTTTAATTTTTTGGGAAATCTGCAGAGTACCATAAAAGAATCATTTAGAATACATTATTGCCTGTTGAAATACCTTTACACATCCCATTAACTTATATGGCATAGGTGGAAGAATTGTTGAGTTCCAATTAGAACTAAATTCCAGGGATGGGTGGATTATTGAGCAATTTTGCTTAATATCGCTCAAACTTTTTATTGGATATATTAAGCATTCTAAATTATTGATTTAGTAGTTTCATTGCTCATTCATATCATTCAGTTTACCTTTTTTCAACGTTTTCCGAGTTGAAGCGAATGTTTTCTTTTTTGATTCCTGTTCAGTCTCTGCGAAATCAAATGCATAATACATATATCTCGAATAGCTTGTATTTAAAAAATACCGACACGTGCAGGATTTTTGGAGGCCATTATTGAGGGACCCTTTAATTATAGAAAATTCAGACTCGTTTAACTTAATCTTACCGATAAAAAAACAATGTAAATAAATACATAAACAATCATTTTTATTATAAATTTTTATTTGAAATGCTTGAAAGCACGTTGTTGGCTCATTTAATAAATTGTTTCATATTTTTTTACAGGCTCTTCGAAAAATTTAACAAATCTGGATTGGATACGTTAATGTCCACTGGATCATCAAACTTCGGAATAGCCAATTATGTTGAGGGTCGAAATGGAAAGAATAAAGTTCTCGTTTATATGAGCCGAGTCCATCGGTCGCGAGTTTACACATTTCAACTTTCTGCAAAATTCAAGGTCATTTTTTTTTTCTTTGGTTTTTTTTAAAGAAAGTTGGTAAAGGTCTAAGTGCCCGCTGTGCACCTTAAGCTATTATCTTTGCCACGTAAATATACACTTTTAGTTTTGCGCCAAAACCACGTTTTTTGCCAGTTCACAAACTGTTTTTCAGGTTCCTGGTTTGGTTTCATGGAAATGTTCGACATGCGCAAAAATAAAAAATGAATATACCGCATTGGGGACGAGATTGGATCGAAAAGTGCCATTGATTCTTGTCGATAATGATGTGATTAAAGAAGATCCCGATCGGCCTCTTAATGCTGAACATTTTTGTAAAGGGAAACCAGCTGTTGATGCTGCGCTTCAACGTTCAAAAATTGTATTTTACTCGGTAATCAAAATATCTATTTGAATACAAAAAAGCAACTTTTCAGAAAAAGATGCAGGCGGTTAAAGGATCAAAAGATCCCGAAAAACTTTTTCAACAATTTTCCCAAGAAGCTATTGAAAGCGGTAGTCGATTTCAATTAATCGATAATTTAAGTTGAAATTTAGTACCCATATTATTGAATGCAAAGGAAAAACGAGTTGTTCGACAGAGCTTAAATAATAGATGTCAGACGATTCTTAGGAATGCCGCGAAATCGTCCTCAAAGGAGGGATATCTGAAACAGATGAAGGGCAAATTCAGTGTAGAAAGAAGAAATACCCAAAAAGAAGCTTCGCCGAATGGTAATATATTAATGTCACTACAATTTCTCTGATTTCAAACGTTTCAAATGAAATACCACTTTTACTTCGAACAATTGAATTTTTCCCTTGTTTTCCACAATGTTCCACGGTGTATCTCAAACTAAAAAGTAAAAAAATATCAAGTAATTAACTAATTAAAAAAATTATTCACCGCGATTCAAATTTCAAGTAAATATTGCCATGTGATTACAATTATGCGACATTTTGCATATTTTCAGGTTCCGAACTGCTAGTAAATATGACAAAACGTGAAGAAGACGACAAGGAAAGAGCGGAATTAGCCGAGATATTTTCCGACGGTGATATCATTTTGGGGAACATGCAGGATGTTGCTTATGATATTGAACTTCGTTAACAACGGTTTCTGATCTTTTGTATATAACTAATAAATGTTTTTTAATGAATATCTTCAATGTTATTGAATTAATATTGTGTTTGGATCACATTCACTACTTACCATTCAATTATTTAGAGATTTTCGTTAATTGCATTTTATTTCAGCTAAATATGAGCGCTTGTTTCGGCAATTTCAGCGATTTCGGTATGTTGTTTTTACCATAAAATCACTAGAGGATTAAAATTTGAAATTTGCTGCATAACTACAAATAAAAAAAGAATGTAACGTGCATATTTGTATTAGAAGCATTCGAAGAACGAATACTTTTGGTTTAATGCTGAAGACAATTAGATGTAAATCGAACCATATTTCATTGTTAATGCATTCTTCGCAGCCTTGCCCAGTTATTTTTATTGGCTTCTGTCCAATATAACACAATCAAACGTTCGATCATTTATCGAAACCAAGTGCTTTCTTATCGATTATAAGAACAGCTATCGTGTGATATCAGTTTCGCTTACAATTCGCTTTCAGGTTTTTTGGCGGATTTGACTGACGAAGTCAGCGTCGACATGAATTCTAATAAACTCAATCGAAACCGTAATTTTTTAAATATTGTTTTTCTATTCTATCATATGTGGTTTTAGCCGAGGAAGTTATGAATGAAAGCAATTCTTCCAACAACGATCACCCATGTGATAGTGCGACCGCCGGATTCCCCGACATCGGAAAATTGTCGATCGTCGAGGAAAATGATGCAAATGTCTCGTTTGGAACTGAGTGAGTTCTTCGAACCCTCTATTTATATTTACAATTGAAAGGGGTTATTTTTGATTCTGTGCAAATTTTTGAGAAAACTGAAGCAATCGGTTAAATCTTTTATTGACGACTGAAACTGTCGGAAATTCAAAAAATACAGGATGTCGTTTGTTTTCGACAATAAATATTTTTCCGCAATCTTCATATAGTCTGCCTCCGGTGACTGCTGCACTCGGATATATTTACGGATGCGCCTTTCAAAAGGTTTCATGTGAAACCTTATTTTTCTATTTTCACACGAGCTGTATAATTTTCCTTGATCAGTTTGTTATTTCCGTGAATTTATAACGTTAACAGAATTTAAAATTATCGAAAGGACCCCTAACATGATATTCAAAATAACGAGTTAGTCCATGCGAGACCTTAGCGAAAGGCTCGTAAATCTACCCCCGTACAGCAATCGCCGAACGCATTTTTATTTCGTTGCTTCTTCATCATAAGTTCGCGGCGGAAAGTTTTTAATTGATATGGTTCTGCGAGTTGTGGAACTACGTAATGAAAATGATAGTAAAATGATTATTCGACAATGTTTAAAAATAAAAAAATCCCCCTATTAATGTTTTGATCGAATATCAAGATGAAAATTAAATAAAAATGAATGTTTTACAGGAGTGGATTCAATGAATCAATGGAAGAGCGTCCCTTATCATTTCCTGACAAACCGTATTACTGGATGAATGATCATAAGACGATTCAGTTCATTCGAGGTTGATTTCGAGAATATGCTTTAATAAGGAGTTTCCGTCATTTTTCTTTTAGAAAATTTCGCGCCAGGAAGCTTCTATATAATGTACAATGGAAAAATTATTGAGGATTTTGAGAAATTTGTCGAGAATTTTTGGGATCAGCAACTCGTCAAATATTCTTTCCATTTGCGGATGAAAGGCGGAAAAGGAGGATTCGGCTCACTTTTGCGGTCTTTTCGTGTGAACAAAAGTACTAATAAATTGATGATGCGCGATTTGAACGGCAGACGATTGGCATCGGTGGACGAAGAAAATAAATTAAGAAGATATCTCGAGAGACAAGCTCGAAAGGAAGAGGAAATGAAACAAAAGAGAAAAGCAAAACTGGAAAGACTCACGGCTCCCGCTCCGAAACATCAGTTTGAAGATCAGGAATATTTATCGAGAAGAGAGGAAATCATTGAAAAGACTGAAGATGCTTGCGAAGCAGGATTTGCTTATATGAAGGAAATAAAGAAGAAGAGAATAAATTCTACAAATGGGCAGGAAGCTGGCGATGAGTCTGAAATTGAGGATGTCGCCGATCTCTTCCATGATCGTGGCGGAAGAAAAAGAAAGATTGATGCACCTTCTATTGATGACGGCGAAGATCTGAAGAAACGTCGCGACTACGAAGAAATGTCAAGTGATAGTGAAGATGATTCGGAAAATGAGCCAGATGCTGAAGAATTAGAGGTTTTTTTAAAAATATGTTTACTTTTAAAAATCTATTAAATTTACAGGCAATTCGTGCTTATTTCAAGGAGCGTGATGCCAAGAAGCCGGAGGAAGAAGGTCAAAGTTCAAGTGATTCGAAAGTTGAGGTCAACGAAAGTGTGAAGACAGAGAAGACGCTTGATGTAAAAAAATATTTCAATTTCTGAAATCTGTCATAATTATTTTCAGTGCGCCTCCAATGTCGATGATTTGCCAATGATCAAAGAGGCTACAAAATGCGAGTATGCTCCAATTAATCTGGACGAGTTCTCATCTATCGATGATCTGGAACTTCTTGGTCTAGAGCATCTTAAAAGTGCGCTGACAGGTATGGCGGTGCTTTTTTTTATTTTTTTTCTAGCCACCCAACAAAGCCATAATATTTGCACAACTTGAGATGAACTTTGCGCGGTTTTGTAGAGGCGAAAAGGTGCGATAGGATGAAATGCCTTGCAAGTGTACATTTCGTGATTGAAAATACCCGAACGGAAATATTATTTTGTCATTTCATACACAAATACTCCGATAGTCACTTTTAAGCAGTTTGAGATGTGTAATAGACGATCACATATCGCAATAAATCTATTTCAAGACATTAGACTATAGATTTATATAAACGAATCATCTCAAACAATTCATTGTTTTCTGATTTCTAGAGCGTGGCCTCAAATGCGGCGGTACGTTGTCGGAACGCGCCGCCCGTCTATTCTCCGTCAAGGGTCTCACCCCACACGAATATCCAAAGAACATTTTGACTCCAGAAATGAAGAAGAAAATCATTGAGGAGGAAGAAGCTTCCCGAAATGCTGCTAAGAAGAACAAGAAAAAGAAGGCAAATAAATAACCTATTAAACTTAAGACTTCTGATCGAATAAATTCTTATTAAACAATATGTGAGCCCGGAAAATGTTTATTTGAATGTGTGTTTTTATAAAGAAGTTTGAACACAAATATGCACAAAACAAAGAACAGAGCAAAAAATGGTGTGTAGTTGTGGCAGGATCGGAAATAAAATCTTGATGGTGTTGAGATGGATGTTTGAATTAACGAACTCTTATAGATGTCAATAGAATAAGAGAACAGAAACGAAATGAAGCACTTAGAAGCATTTGCGGTGAACGATCGAAGGGCCGGACTCGTCATATTCTTGTTTTGAGATCCACATTTGTTGGAAGGTGGAAAGGGAGGCAAGAATGGATCCTCCAATCCAGACAGAGTACTTACGCTCTGGTGGAGCAATGATCTTGATCTTCATGGTGCTGAAAAATTAAATAATTATTTGACGGAATCAGATTATGCATATATAACCTTGGGGCAAGAGCAGTGATCTCCTTCTGCATACGATCGGCGATTCCTGGGTACATGGTGGTGCCTCCGGAGAGAACAGTGTTGGCGTACAAGTCTTTACGGATATCAATGTCGCACTTCATGATGGAGTTGTAAGAAGTCTCGTGAATACCGGCCGATTCCATACCCAAGAAGGATGGCTGAAAATCGAATTAATTTATTATTTTGTGTGAACAATTCACAGCAAACCTGGAAGAGAGCTTCTGGGCAACGGAAGCGCTCGTTTCCGACAGTGATGACTTGTCCATCAGGAAGTTCGTACGACTTCTCGAGGGAGGAGGAAGAGGCAGCGGTGGCCATCTCTTGCTCGAAGTCGAGAGCGACGTAGCAGAGCTTCTCCTTGATGTCACGAACAATCTCGCGTTCAGCGGTGGTGGTGAACGAGTAACCACGCTCAGTAAGGATCTTCATCAAGTAGTCAGTAAGATCACGTCCGGCCAAGTCGAGACGGAGGATGGCGTGTGGGAGAGCATATCCTTCGTAGATTGGGACGGTGTGGGTAACACCATCTCCAGAATCGAGGACGATTCCGGTAGTACGTCCAGAAGCGTAGAGCGAAAGAACGGCCTGGATGGCGACGTACATGGCTGGGGTGTTGAAGGTCTCGAACATGATTTGGGTCATCTTTTCTCTGTTAGCCTTTGGGTTAAGTGGGGCTTCGGTGAGGAGAACTGGGTGCTCTTCTGGGGCAACACGAAGCTCGTTGTAGAAGGTGTGGTGCCAGATCTTCTCCATGTCATCCCAGTTGGTGACGATTCCGTGCTCAATTGGGTATTTCAAGGTGAGGATACCTGAAAGCAGGGATTTTTTTCGAGAAAACAAAAATTTGACATACCTCTCTTGGACTGGGCTTCATCTCCGACGTACGAGTCCTTCTGTCCCATACCGACCATGACACCCTGGTGACGTGGTCTTCCGACAATGGATGGGAAGACAGCGCGTGGAGCGTCATCTCCGGCGAATCCAGCCTTGCACATTCCGGATCCATTGTCCACAACAAGAGCAGCAACCTCGTCGTCACACATTTTGAGCTAGTTTTTGATACCTGAATAAAATTAATAATAAATAAGAATGGTAAATACATGGTAGAGAAATAAACGATATGATGGTATGATACAATAATAATCATATAAAAACAAATATATAAAGTTTAATATTTGAGAACAATAATGACGACCACGACGACGATGATGAGGAAGGTGATGATAAAGCAGCACACAACAAACTAGGCGGGACTTGCGGCCTCTCTTGCGGGCTCCCCTCCTCCCCTCGCATATAACATTCAAGAGAGCGAAAGAATACGAGAGAATCGAAGACTTGAGCTGAAGTCTGAGTGGCGGCCGCGGCGGCGACGCTCTCTCTATTTCTCTCAGTATAGTCTGCGTCGGGACCGCGCCTGCTCTCCTAAACTTCGTCATATTTCCCCGCGGGCGCGTCGCTCAGTCGTGGGAGGGCTGCGCTGGCGCGGATTCTGAGAACATCGTCCGTTCTCTTCGTCTCTTCCTCGCTGCCACCATCTGTTGAAGATCATCAACAAAGTTGCAAAAGTTGTTGTGACCAGCGCTAAGAGAAATGAGGGAGTACGGATCGCCAAGGGAATACTGACGGCTATAATTTAGCGAATGTTTCAAAATTATTACTATTCGAAGACTATAAAAATTTTAAATAGATGCACCTTTCCGAAAATTACTACAGTTAAAGATAATGGAAATTTCAATTGATCGTTACTTTCCGCAATGAAATAGAAGCTAAAAATTCATTAAAAATGTGTCGGCCAAATAAAGAGAATGCGAAATTTTGAAACAAGGGCGCCATAAAAAACAAAGAATTGATGTTCCGTCATACCCATGAATCACTTTTTCGCGGGGCGTTTGCACATGATTCATGCAACTAAAATGCCAAAGCTATAGGAGACCGCACCAAAAATATCGTTCGATTCCAAGAAATACGCTAAAGTCAACAATTTCGAAACGCGGGCACAGTTGACACAACCGCTGGACTTTCCAAGAATCTCTCCCCTTCTGCAGCTTTTCTATCGTGCGCCACATCCCGAATTACATGCTTGCGCACACAGAGAAACACCGTACACACCTACGCTCAAATATATGAGACATTGACGGCAAAAAACAATCAGGATTATTAGGTTGTGACAATGTAAGTGCGCCAGTGTGTACCGATGGACTCAACTTTTTTGCCAGCAATTTGCTGTCTAACGTGGGGTGGCAATAAGTATCTAATCACTCAAGTGCTCAACAAACACAGTTTTATCTCTTTGCGCACGCGCACATCGTATGCAAATTCACCGTCTGAACGTTTCGGCCTCTTCAGAAATTTTGCAACAAAAGTTGAGGTACTTCAAATCTCACAGGCCATTATATTTACAGTTCACACATGCTAATGTTTGAGAGGCCGATTTGATTTGCTTTGTTAGTGGGTTATATAGCTATATTTTATCTAAAACTTTGATAGACGTATTCAGCAAACCTGACAAGATGAATATGGGGAGCTGTTTCTGGCCGATGAAACCGACTCGAATGATTGGAAGCAATCCGAATCGTGAGGCGTGTCTTCGGACAAATTTACACTTTTCTAGTTGTGGCAGTGCCCAGTTCCCTGAATCGTGGGTGGAAGTGATTGCTACTCCACCGCCGCCGCAATGGCACTGCAGTACTTTTCGAGCAAGAGATATCTTTGCGATCACGGAAACGCAGATTTTTTAGCACATGGCACCCGAGATCGAGCTCAATGAATCTTTGTAACAGAAGAGAACGAAGACGAAAAGACTGCGATACACATGCTCAAGCACTTTCAGTGGCAAACAATGATATTCCCAGTATATTGCGAAAAGCAAAGGATGCTATTAAACTAGATTAATTTATTAGTTGATTGTTTGGATCACCAATAAATATGACGACTATACATTTGAAAACTTAAAACTCGTTTAATAAGTTTAATATGACCTTATAAAAACACTAAATAAAGGGCCAATGCAAAGAAAAAAAGAAAAAACAATTTTTTTGTTTTTCTGCACTGCAATTCGCTTCATCTTTCAAAAACATACTGAATAGCTCAATTAAAAACTATGCATTTTTATAGCAAATGGAGGGGGCGTATATATATACAAAAATTAAAATGTTTGAAAAAAAAGTACTAAAACTGTTTTATGATTTGGTTAAGATGAAAAACACCTCGAAACTTATCACATCACATGTGTATTGTCGTCATATAAAATGCAAAAGTACGAATTGTCATTTTTCGACTTATCCGCCCGAAAACACAAATTAATTCAAATCAGTTCACAAAACTTAACAATACTCTTTGATGAATTTTGTAATTATGAATATTTTTAATACTCAGTCATCCCGTAAACTATTGCGAGACCGAATTAGATCGTAAAAATTTTTAAGTGTATACCTCCAAACTTGGAATTGTCTGCTTTCAACTATATTTAGACATTCTCAGTCTTTCGAAAAGGACGATCCGCGGTTGTTTTTGGTTTGAACGTTTGAGGTTCTACGGAATTTCCCAAAAACTTCCGCTGTTCCTTTTTTATTTTATTTTTTCTTTTGTTTGCCTCCAAAATGGTCCGCCAGTTATCCCAAACCAAAGTGTCCGCCATTCGTTCCGAACGAATCGCTTAGTTAGTTAAAATAAATGTTTTCGGCGTCGCGCGACTTCAGAGAATTGGAAATTGAGGAGGGGTGATGGTATCTACTGCAAAACTAAAATAGGTGTATTAATGTTATTGGCAACGTCGCGCGACTACGGAAAATAAATATACTAAATTCCAGAAAATGAGGACATGCGGGGTGTGCTACAACCAATTCTTTTATTTATCTAGCAAATTTCCACGTTTAATTTTGCGCCAACATCCCTGCCAGTTTTTTGCCATTTAGATAATTTTCCGTAGTCGCGTGGCGCCGATAATAGAATATTAAAAGCTCGTAAATAGTATTCAAACTATTATTCAAAATATTGAGCTATTTGTTAAAGTCCCTAAATTGTTTTTCAGAACGCCAAATAAAGAGTGTGGTAAAGCAATACGCTTGTTTATCCAAAAGTGTCCGATATTTTTTTCTCAGAAATGTATTTTCTTCCCATGACTACAATCTTTTTCATTCCCATCGCCAAAAATCGCTCTCGTCGGAATGTTATTTTGAGGGAAAAATAATAAAAGACAAACGTTTCAGGAACACAAACGAATAACGTTATTTAAAAATTGAAAACAAAAGAGAAACATCTTATTTTAGGCCTTTGAATCACGATTGCTGAATCATGCCCGCAAAAACTCTTTCAGATGTTCGTTTTCAAGAGACCGTCATAAGAGAAGTTGAATCCTTTCATTTTAAGGTTCTCGTTTGAAAAAACGAAAATTTCCTTAACGAGGGAAAACAAAAATTTATACTGCTTCGAATACCCTCTTCGAAACGAAATGAAATTGAAGTATATAGAGCCTATTCAAAAGGTTATCCCGTTAAAATCAAACGGCGGGGAAGC